AGTTCAAATTAAATAACAATAAATGTTTTTATATTTTAATGGTCGTTTAATTTTTACCTTTTTACTACTAATATTTTTAAAACGTATCTCAAAGAGATAAAGCTAATATGCCTACGGAGTTAATATATTTTTACCAATAGAATAAAATTTTACAAATAATAATGTGTGCAAATGGATTTTTACGAGTACAACAGCATCACAAAAAAACGAAGTATTATTGTTTGCGTTTTAGTTAGTTTACTTAGCTATTAGTTATACTTATAAACTCCTAATCTTAGTTCCTGATCTCATACGGTGTAACATGATTGATGGATCAAAAGTGGCAGGGTCGTCGAGAACCTAAGTACTTATCGATTTCGGGCTAAATCGATAGATATTTAGCTATGTGTAGTAGTTAAAAAGATTAAATTTAGAAAAAAACTATACGTATAATAAAAGTGTACATATAATAAAAGTGTACATGGAAGATATTTAAGAAAAACTATTAAAGAATGATTTTTAGAATTTTTGTCTGTTTGTTTGTGCGTTTGTGCGCGCTGATTTTAGAAACAGCTTAACCGATGTGGGTACGATTTTCACTAATGTATTGTAGTAAGCTTCATTTAACATTTAGTATTTGTTTTACTTCAATCGGTTCACAAATAAAAACGTTATGTCAATTTAAAGAATCACGTCAAACATGTATTGGAAAAAATCTATACATGTATTAAAATTGTAACTAAACCGAATCTATACATTAAATATTTTTTGGAATAAATCTTATTGAAATAAACATTATTATCGACACAGAGGCCGAATCTATAGTTTTTACAATTTTTGTCTGCCTGTCTGTCTGTCTGCCTGTCTGTCTGTTACCGCATCACGGAAAAACCACTGGAGGGATTTTCATGAAATTTGGTGTGGTGATAGCTGGTTATCCGGGTCAACATATAGGATACTTTTTACCGCGGTAAAATATCTTATTTCTGAGAAACTATACAAAAACTGCAATCTAAGAGTATACTAATATGTAAAACCTAAGAATTTCGTTTTTGGTAATCTGAACGCGGGCGGACCCGCGGCCAATACTAGTCTATTATAAAATTATAATAGTTTTATTGGAAAGTCATGCGCTTTTCAAACTTTAGTATTATTTATGTTGTTGAATTGAGCATATGTATGAGTACTATTTCAAGTTTCTGTTCTGGCAACTTATATTCGTACGATGTAGTACATTTCATGCCGTACTTGTAAAAAAAAATAACGGCCACAAACAAGTATGTAAAAATAAAAAAATCAAAGCAAATCACACATTTTAAGGCAAAGTGAGTTTGTACTTAATTATCATTTATACATATAGCTTATAATTTTCTCATTTATTATAAGGATTAAACAGTAAGGAAGTCTTACAACACTAATAATGAAAATAGATTTAAATATTTCTACTAAAATAAATATAACATGACATGTCTTAAAAGTATAAATAAGATAAATTACATTAAACTAAAAAAAAAACCTTAAGTATATATACATAATATAATAACTAAAAAATATTATTAAAAGGAGTCCCTTTAGGCAAGGTTCCGAAGATAATTGTAATAATAATTTTATTGATATATTATTTTGAAAATATATAAATACTAGTAGAACCCGCGGCTTCGCTCGCGCTAAAACTACATAAAAATCTCTAAAAAGGTAGTTTCACACAAACTTTCATCCTCCATTTTACCAACTTAAAGGATGAATTTCGAAAAAATTTTTTGCCCGGCATTTCTATATTTTTTGCTCAAATTACTTTTAAATATTAAGCTAATGAACATTTCATAAAAGTTTTAATCAAAATAGGTTCTAAACAAAACAAAGCCAGTTAGTATGGAAATCCTCTAAAATAAACATAAAAACTTACTTTTACAAAAGAAAATAACATAAATTAAAAATACCTGAATGAATCAATAATACACTTCTGATGGCCTTTTGTATAAACTCGATGGATAATATCGATCTTTATATCGCCAGGCAGAACAAAAGTGAGATTAATGACCATAAAAGGATCCAAAGCAGTAATCCCTGGCTCAGGGAAACCGTTTATAAATTTCGGCAAAATAGACTGAAGGCATTACTTTAGACATTGTGGTGACCCATCTTTACAGAGTCTATCAAACCCGTCTGTTTGGTAAAAATATAAAATGTAATAAATAAGTAACTCAGAATTTTATTATAAACGAAAAAGAAGATTGCTTACGAAATGTGTTCGATATTACAAAATGTACTGTGTACGTAATAGCAAGTAAGGTGATGGCTTTAAAATTATACCAAGCCATATTGATATTTACTCAGAATTCTAAACCTTTCAATGATATAGAGTTGAAAGAAGTGAAGCGTTTAAACAACTACATTTATAAGTTTACAATATAATGATGTCCTTAAAGTAATCAATAACATTGTTAAATTAAGTGAGTATAGCTACAATATGAGTATTATTAGAGTTTCACATTAAGAATAATCATTCAAGTAAGTTATTAACTAAGTAATAATTATTTTTTGAAATGTTGTTGTATCTTAATGAGTTTGTATTAAAAGAACGGAAATATTATTCTAGGATAGTAGAAAATAGCATCATTCAACATTCTATAATTTACTGAATCTTGTACACCAATAACATATGAAACTAGCGACTCACCCTCGCCTCGCTCGGGTTCGTCCGTAGGTAGATTGTCGATATAAACTTTCATCCCCATTTTCACCCCCTTAAGGGAGTGATTGCTGAATTAAAAATATTCTATGTCCTTCCCAGGCTTTACCTTTTTATAATATTAGTGTGATTAAAAAAAAAGCAAAGATAAGAGGCAAATGCAATTCAAATTCAATTCACTTAAGTATGAATACATTACAAATTGATTTATAACCTTAAAGTATAATTATACTAAATACTTTATAGGTAGTCATTTCTAAATGGATTGTTCATTTTTATTTGCCTTGTGTCAGCTGGTTAACTGGTAAATATCTAGTAAGTAGTAGGTACTATCTTAAACGAAAACCCCCTGTTTTGTCGTTTCTTAATTTTTTATGTACTTAAGGTGATGTTATTTTTTAGTTTTTAATTTCTCATTTTACTGAATACAGTACAAACATACTTTATTGCATCAGGGTATCCTACTTGAGAAGCATACGTATAGACCAATATGATTAAGTAAATGATAAACAAAGTTAAATAATAAACTAGTTTTTAATTATTTACTCTTTTTTACTACAAAAGTATTATTGTACTAACCGAAGTGCTAAACCATTTCTTAGTTCTAACCTGATTTCCGCCTGTAGATATTATACTTAATTATTAGGTCATATTACTTACAATTTATCTAGGTCAATAAATTGTCCCCGAATAGCAGAGGGATACTGTCATTATCATTTTTCATTAAGAATTGAAATTATTTGCAGAATCTTTGTCCTGTCTATGTACCTCTATACGTATGTACATAGAGTAAAAGAAAGGGTTAAAGAGAAATTTTAAATATAAACTTTTATTGATATGCATACAAAACTGCAAGGATTAATTATAGTGAAATATTTTTATTCATAAAATTCTAATACGTAAAGCCACGAGCAAATGCTAAAAATTCTAAATAAAACATTTCATTAACTTAAGTACCTTTTGAACATTTAATTATATTTGTTAGGGTATGTAATGGAAATTGGTTGTGCGGATAATAATGTAGGGACATATAATGTGATGTGATAGAACAAAGAACAAAGTTAATATTTTTATTCTCATAAGCGTAGTGTGTACTGCATAGCAGTAATTGTTCTTTGAAAATGAATAAAAAAGACAACACCAATTTAATAATTCAAGATAATGTAAATGAAAACTATAATGGAGTGCATATGATTATTAATTCATTTGGATTATTTCTAAAATTGGAAAATTGTTATGGAATATTCAGATACCGTGTAGCAAACAGTCAGTTGATACCAATTGGTAGAAATTTCTAATGTTATGCAGTTATGGTTATGCATGCTAATGAGATACTATACATCATATTTTTTGTACAGTCCAGAATAAACACAAACTTCTTTAATATAAACTACGTACATATACACACAAAATGTAGTGCATCATTTCTTTGTCTTTCACTTTTCATAAGTTATTTTTGGTTATTTAATATTTCTATAAATTATGTTACTTTGTTACTTATAATAGAATAGGATTTTTCTCTTTGTTGTGGAATGTAAATTATTATTAATCATATCGTCTCATATTGGTTCGGGATCGTGGGTACTGTCTATTTTAGAAGTTTAACAAGCTGATCTTCTGAGCATGGTTACGTCTGAAATTCAGAGAACATAATATATAAACATATTGACTTTAATTGTACCAATTTCCTTATTTTGAGCCTTTGGAATGGCCAAAAAAAGCATCCAAATGTTATTAAGGTAATATTATAATTAAGGTAATATTCTATAATAGATTTAAGCTAATAGAGAATAAGACATTTGATTAGCTTCATGGTTCAAGTTTCGCTTTAACCTAAATTGTGCATATAAATTATCGAGATAAATGTAGTACAGTTCGTTTTCAGCAAATATTTACGTATTTTATGACTCATAAATATTTAAATAACAAGCAAGCAGCTGAGATTTGGAAAGTTGGCTGTGTGTCCAACACTATAAACTTTACAGAACCACATACTCGAAGGGAACGTAAAGTCTATACTTCTGTGCCTTCTATGCTGTGAAGAATGAAGGGTAAATACTAAATACCTCAGATTTAGACTACTCTAAATCGGCGGTAAATATAAAGATCTCTAATTCTTGTACACACACTATGCACTATCACCCCCGGTTAGCTATCTACGCTAGCCTTTATAAAATATAGGCTGCCATATTATATTATAATATAGGCTTACAGAGCAATTTAATTTATACTAACTACTTAATATATTTTTCAATCAATAAGATAAAAAATAACATAAATAAATTTACCCTTCCCACAATATTGGACGCATTTTAACTTTCGAATATTATAATAGGTTGTGCATTCGTATCAATTGACTTGGCAGATGTGGACCAGTAGAACCTGCGCCATTTGCCATTGTCGCCGGAGTCTTACGACATGCGAAGTGGTATCTTAATTGGACGTCTAAAAATATACATAATATTCTTACTTACATGATTATATAAAAAGTTACAATAAGAATCTGTATTGTAAAAACGTGAAATACCATATTATTCTAAGTTATATAATAAAACGTTTTATCAAATTTCAAAACGTTTCGAATGCTTTTCAGCAGACATGGTCACGTTAAAGACGTGTTTTTGACGTCACAAAAATCATAGTTATTACAGACATCGCTACCCACAAGAATTTTGAAGAAAATATGACACTAAAGTACCTTATAAATTAATTAAAAAAATTATAATGTCAAATATTCGCATGACTCTATATAAAATAACTTACCAATTCCACAATATTTGGCGCATTCTAACTTTCCAATATTATAATACGTTTTCCCATCGGATCCACATACTGGATTATATTCTGATGTCGTTGGACAAGAATTTATACAAACACCTATATCGCTATTCGTAGTAGGTAAAGGTGATCCAGTAGAAACTGAAGGATTCGCTGTTGTTGTCGGTGTCTTAGGACATGTGAAATGGTATTTTAATTGGACATCTAAAAATATATATTTTTTAATTACATACACTAAAAGTTTTGTTGAGTTGAGATCTATCTATACATAGTATCTATACATAGTACCTACATATAATAACATTCTGAGTCGAATCTGTACAGTGAGTGTGAGTCTGTGTTTTTTTAGAAAATCTTATTGAATTAGTCATTGTTATCGACACAGTCTGTGACCGCATCACGGGAAAACCACTGAACAGATTTTGATGAAATATTGATATGATGATAGTTTTTTATCGCTGGAGGTTATCCGGGTCAACATATAGGATACTTTTTACTGCAGGAAAATATCTCATCTCAAGTCAAATTTGTACTAAACGTTAATATATATATATATATAAATATATATATATATATATATACACCAATATATAAAAATATATATATATATATATATATATATATATATATATATATATATATATATATATATATATATGTGTACCAGAGAACTTGTAAACAATTGATAGTTAACCGGTTTTAACGCAATTTTAAGTTAAATAATGAACAAACGCACAAGACTCGTTTGCATGATGTCAGTTTAGCATCCTTTGCAGAAAAGAATTGACATGCAAAATGTATAAAATACTTTTTAAACAATAAGTTGAAACCATTGCTACAAACTAAGATAATATACCATTATTTACTAGTAAGAACTATTGGTTTTATTTATTATTATTATGGGTATACTATAAATTGGGTTTATACCTTTGCAATAAACATTATTATTATTAGTTAACACAATATACTCGTACTTTAATTTAATTTTACTGTTCAATTGTATTTACATATGTTATCATTGTCATATTTGATTCAAAAAGTTGTAATCATGTAAAAATCCTTTTTCTATAGATCACGTGTCATGGATCATATTAACCTTCCATGAAATAATATTTTTATGCTTTAAGAAATTTGTATAAACGTTTGGTCTTCCCGAATTACCCTTTTTTTAATGTTAGGTAAGGCATTTACGCATACCACCTGTAGACAGTTATGTGGGACTCAGCGGCTCGAAAAGCCAGTACTACCCACTAAAATCCAACAAACCCTTCCCCCGTCTTAATGGGGCGTCGCAGGATCGCTTACCCACTCAACTACGACGCCCCGACCGTAGGTCTGCCGAAGTAGACCAGAATAACCATCGGGTTACTCCACAGTTCACTCTGCTGTCAGAAAAGTACCAGGAGCAACCCGCATGGTACACCGCCTACTGATATCATTCACCCGTAATAAGTAAATTAAGGAAGAATTGAAAAGTATTTTTCTGTAAATAAATAAGTTATTAAGGCAAGAACTTCTACCTCAACTATTATTTAAATGAAATAAATAAAGATTTTACAATAAATTAAGTCGACTTTACGGGATTGGCCTTCTTGGTCATTAATCATTGTCTATGGCCAATCACATCAAATCACCTTTTTGTTGTTGGATAGACCAACAGACATACTTTAGCATTTATAATAGTAGTAAGTACTGATTTTAATATTGCTATTGTGATCTGCAAGAGTATTAGACTATAACACAAGTTGTCAACTTACCAACTCCGCATTCTTGAGCACATTGTAGTTTTCCCGGATTTGGGTAAGTTTTGTTATTAGTGCCACAGACAGGATTATACTCTGATGTCGTTGGACACAAGGACATACATGCATCTATATTATTAGTCTCAATTGTTGGCTTTCGCCCCGTCCTTCCAAGACATGAGGATATGTGACTTAAACGTACATCTGGAAATATAAAATATCTATATATTTTATCCATGTAAAACTAGTTTAAATTAAAATAGAATCGAAAATCAAAATCTGAATTTTTAATTCATTTAAAGGAGCTATAATCAAATCTTACATAACACAACAAACTTTCAATTATATTGTCTTTTACCTCAGTGTAGTGTAATTTAATTACGGAAAAAAGATAATTAATATTTAAGAAGATAATATTCATTCATTACCTACTCCACACTTTGCAGCACATAGTAGATGATCCATATTGTCGTACGTCTTACCGTCAGTGCCACATACATGGTCAGAATTTGGGTTTAATTTGCACGACAGTACGCAAGTTTCCATATCCAGGGGCTTATATATGGAATGCCTGCTGGGAAATGTTAAGTGTCAAATAGTATTTTTTGTATTTACGTAAGTCTTGTAAGCGCTACCTTTGTCTACACTCGTACATATAATAAAATTGTAACTAAGTCGAATCTGTACATTAAATATTTTTTGGCAAAACAATTGAAATAGACATTATTATCGATACAGAGTCTGAATTTATAGTTTTTAGAATTTTTGTCTGTCTGTCTGTTTGTCTGTCTGTTACCGCATCCCGAGTAAACCGCTGGACAGACAGATTTTAATGAAATTTGGTACGATGATAGCTGGTTATCCGTGTCAACATATAGGATACTTTTTACTGCGGGAAAATATCTCATTTCTGAGAAAAAATACAAAAACTGCAATGTAAGAGTATACAAATATGTAAAACCTAAGAATTTGGTTTTTGGTCATCTGAATGTGGGCGGGGCCGCGGGTAATGCTACATAGATGGAGGAGTAACATAAATATGAAGATTGAAAGGGACGGGGAATTATTCGACGACACGTTTGGCTAAGTTTGTAGTTATCCTACTTGCTGTGCCAGCGGTCGCGGGTTCGAGTTCCGCTGGGGGCATTTATTTGTGTGATGAGCACGAATGTTTGTACTCGTTGTTGATATTTATAATACGTATGTATTTCAAGTTATATATGTGTAGTGTATCAACTATCTGGTGTCTATAACACAAGCCTCGTAACTTACCATGGAACTAGATGGTGCTGTGTCTTAGTGTCCAAAAACATAAAATATATTTTATCTGACAGTATTTTTTTAGTTATTCATAATGAGTGAGAAATCAAAACGTACCCATCCGAAGATTCCTCGTAGTCGGGAAATATTATTCGATTATGATCACGATTGTTTTGTTCTCTATCATTGCTCGTAATATGATGCCAAACATTAGGATTATGTACATCCTTCTTATCTCTAAGTAATTTATACTTTTCTTCAGTGCCCCTGGTGTTATCATAAACTACATGTCGGCAAAAAACACTTCGCTGATTGAAACTTAAAATAACTGAAAACAAACTGTTTATTGCAACCGATTTTGAATAATTATAAGCTACCGCAGTAGCATGTTTGTATAAGTATATTGTATAATGCGGACCAACTTACAAGCTTGTATATTTTTATATATACATTTATATGTCCTTATGGATTCAAATTTTTTATTCAATTTAAATTTAAAATTTCAATTAAGAAATATTTATGAAATAATAAAATTATCTATATGTATTTACTATTTACATAATATTACAAATGTGATATTTTATCATATATATACAAATAATATTTTTGGTAAACATAATATTATTTGGTATATATAATATATATAATGAGGTTTTTGTCTGTCTGTCTGTCTGTCTGTCTGTCTGTCTGTCTGTCTGTCTGTCTGTGACCGCATCACGAGAAAACCACTGGAGAGATTTTGATGAAATTTTGTATGATCATAGCTGGTTATTCGGGTCAACATATACTTACTACTGATACTTTTTACTGCGGGAAAATATCTCATCTATGAGATATCTATACTAAACGTTAAAACGTAACGAAAGGGATGAACCCAAGCGAAGCGAGGGTGAATCGCTAATTATATATAATTGCGTTTAAAACTATACTTAAGATATTAAAAAAATACTTACATAGCAATGATACGTACGAATATATCCTCATCGTAAGAATATTCCTTATCGGAAAGCACTTATTACTAAATTGTATATTGTAAAAGACCTGTGTCAAGAAGGTATCACAAGGAGATTATATTTCAAATGCCTCTTTTAACCGATGTGGACCTACTTACTTATGTCTGCTCGAATCACCTTAGAAAAACCCGTCTATGTCATACCTTACGAAGGCTTACAGATTTTATACCTGACTTATATAGCACTGTATTGATTCACAATTGTCTATCAATAGAAATCAATTGGCAAAGTCAAGTTAAAGCCATAAAATTGAAGAGGTGATATTACAGTTTCATATCTTTACCAGATTATGCTTTCGACTTCGTATGCGTATTTATCTCAGCTTAAGTTAGTGCTGCTGACATTGGCAAGACCTACTAGTATGGGAAATAAGAGATTAGTTAAACATAACATAAATATAATAAAATATTTGTTTTCATTTTAGCAGTGTTGCTCTATCTCGAACATCTCTTTAACGCCAACTGAATATAACCTCTATGTATTTTTCGTTGATCAAAATGTCAAAATAATATAAATGTTTACATAAAAATATGTACAATGTACATATATAATATAATTCTTTTATATTTACACAACTCTAGACAAAAACAGATCGATCAATTGTTACGTTGTTTTGTGAGAGAAAGATAAACCAACAAACACATTTTGCATTTATATATTTAGATTAAGTAAGCGTGGTAACATAATAATAGCTACGTGATATTTTACTATGCAATAACTAACTCGTAAATGAATGTAAAATTCTAATGTATATAAATAACTGTAATAAATATTGTTAGTGGTTTCCCCCTAACCAATTACAATTATGTATTTTAAACTTAGTACACATTAACTAGAGGTAGCCGATAGTAGGATGTTCCTCCAAGTTGCGGATGTTTTTTTTATATGAGTATACATACGTACGCACACCACATACTTTTTATCCTTGCCTTTTTTTAAGTTTTGTTTTTATTTTTTGTGATTTGACGGATGCTCCTTGAAGACTATTAACTAATTTAATAATAACTACACTTTAGTTGATATAATAATATCGGTTCGAGGATTTTTTTGGAATACTTTTAATTGTTTAATTATGGACGAAGCTATTGGGATAAGAAATAGCCAGCAACATTGTGAAAATGGACCAGTTGAAGTCAGCCGAGTGTGATCAGCCTGGGGAGTTCCTCAGACATAGATAGTCTTTAGATCCGGCTAGCTTTTCAACAGTCAGTATTTTCAAAGACATAATTTATTTAAGCTCCATTCTCTCTAGCTCCAAGCTTAATTTCCATTAAGCTGCGCAAGCTTTTGTTGTATTTTGTAATTTAAAAAGAAGTACATTATAAAGAAGCAAAGGCTTACGGTTTCTACTGCATATTAATACAGAATGTGAACATAATAACAATAAATGTTGAAAAACTAAAACCCCAGTTTCACTAATACCATATATCAAATAGACTCCTAATTCTGTATTTAAAATAGAAAATATAAAACTTACTGTGAGTCCACGTGATTTAAGAAAATGTAAAATTGTAAAAATATCATTGATATATAAAGGCTCATATGTATCAATGAAAAATATACTAATTAGGAAAAATAAAATGACTATTGTCTATTTTATAGACTGGAAATTAGATACACTCTGATATATAAAGTAAACCAAAAAGCATATATAATTCATTTAGCTATACATAATTCCCATAACCTAATTAGATTTATTATACCTATATAGGTATAGTTTAAGTAAAGTACCTAATTGTAAAAAAAAACCTAATTAACGAGTTTTAGTTTTTAAACTGTGCATTTGAGGATTTCCTATTCTCCATTCACTATAATAAGGTCTCCACTTTGACTGCTTCGGTGGTCCAGTGGCTAAGCATGTATGTATTGCTGTCCTGGGTTCGAGTTCCAGGTCGGGTCAAATTTAATTAATCTTAATGGTACGTCGCAAGATACACGTCGCGACAGGGAACCACGACGCCTGAAGGCATCGATAGGCACCGAGGTAATCCATGACAACCAGGGGCTTGCTTTCATGGTCCACTCTCCTATTAGAGGAGTACCAGCAGCAAACAGATGATGCAGCACATGATGAGTACATCCCTTGAGCTGGATGGATTGCCGGACATTAATGATATAAAATATAAATCCATTAGATTTAAGAACGGGTTATTTAATTTTCCTTTTACTAAAAGTATTTTTAAAACTTGATTACACATTATTGAGTTTTATTTTTTCTTTTATAAATTTTCAATAAATATGCACAAAATCTATACATAAAACACTATCTAATGATCTAATAAATTTTGTTTTAACTATTTTTTATTTGCTCCTGATCAGACTCCCATGTATGACATATAAATAAATCACTCGTTACACAATGCATTATCGAAAAGTTAAGAGAATGTAAAGGAACGTAAAGCAAAATGACAAGATCAATAAAATTAAAAGTGTAACCAGTGCCAGATTTAACCTTAGCGCCGCTCCTGGGCACTGTAAAAAATGGTGCCCTATTATCGAAATTTCGAAAAAAATTGGAGTTTTAAATTTTTTTAATTATTATTTTTTTGAAATATGCAAAAAAATAATTTATAAATGATATCAATTATTCTTTTACTTTTCGAAAAATGTACCTACTAGTTAATCGTTTTTATTTGTAATTTTTTGCAAAATAAAAAAAGCATAGGTATTCGATAACGTGAAGAATTTTTTTTCCGCCCTTCGAATCTTGCCACGCCTAAAAATTTGCCGTCCTGAGTACTAGCCCCTAGTTTAAATCCAGCGCTGAGTGTAACTAAAATCCAGTAACGTTAATATTGCATGTTTTTATTTATTCATCTTTGAACAAGTAGTCTTTACTAGAGTAATAGAGTAAGCCCATAATCAGGGCGAAATCTGATTGTAAATTATTGAGGAGATTCACTTCAAAAGGAGAGCATTAAGCCGTAAGCGTACGTTTACCTAAATCAGTCCGGTCGAAGAGGTCGACGCGACGGGGTTAGCTCACACGACTTGGGTAGCCGAATTTACCTTTCTTGCCGTCATCTATACTGCTTTTGTGGTACAAAAAGTAACTTATGTATGTCACAAAAATCACCAACTTAATAAAATTAAATTTGTGTTATGTTTTATGTACCTACGTACCTAATTTATTAGTGTAAAAGTAAAATAAAAGCGCATTAAATAATAAACCACAATATCCATATTAATAAGGGCATTTAATTATAGTTTATAGTATTTTTCACATAGGTATACTATAAATAAAATTAAGTAAATTTTGCAGCTGTTTTAAAATAACGAAGCGTGAGACCGAAAATATATAAATTCTCAAAAAGCAATCATCGTAGAAAGATGTTTAAAGGATAGGTACCTACAATGTTTACGACTTGGAAGATTATAGCTCGCCAACTGTTCTTTCTTACAACTTAAATAAAAGAGTGGTTTAAAAATCTAACTTATTCTTAAATAATAATAGAGCAATATCCCACTACGATCAAACCTTCGTTATTTGATAAAAGCTGAAAAGTCCCTAATACAGGTAAGAATAATCACCGACTATGAAGCTTGGATCATGGTGGCTATTGCAGGTACAGGTAGCAAAGGTGTATAAAATTGCACCGCAAATTGTATGTCTCCAACAACATAATACTATATTCCTTCGTCAACTGGTTCTTCTCTTTTTAGTTCGCTTTTTATGCACTCGGGTTTTTTACTTTTGTAAATATTTTTTTATTTACAGCTTTTTAGTTTTATGCAGTTAGACATTTTTAATTTTATTTAACAATTTCTGATCCTTAATTACTTTTAAACATATTTAAGTTGTATATATTTTTATAATCACCTCTTAACAATCTGTATTTTGATACCCCACTCAAATGATATTAATAAGATATTATTTCGTACGAAAACTTTTTTTCAAGACACACAAATTGGCGCCTAGGGTCACTCGCGTTATCAATACGAATCGAACGACATATAAATCATCATAATCGGTTAAGCCGTTTAATTATTACGAGGGAACATAGAATCGGACATACATACATAGGTCAAACACATAACTCTCCTTTGAGCTTTGCCACATTCGGGTAAAAATAAGGTTTAGTCTCTTTCATTCGAGTTTTGAATATGTATAGTACTCCTATGTTTCTAACTTGTAAGAATTAAGTCGATGCTAAAAGTAGATTCAACATAGTAACTAGCTTATTGAAAATAGTGAGAAAATATCTTAAGAGATATTTTCCTTAGATTACGTAATTTTTTTATTAATCCGAGTACCTATTATAGTGGTATTTAATCCTACAAATGTCTCTATCCTAGTTTAAATGTTCTAAATAATTTATTGCTTCTTAAATATTCACAATATGTTGATATTATTATGTCGCTTTTACTGTTAATGTGATGTTAATTATAATTTGTTATTTTATTGTTGGGTACCCTTACATAACTATATTACCACTGTACACTTGTACTGTGCCATTACTTTACAGAAGATATATATTTAAATTATTTATTGAAACAGTTTACATTATAATATTTAAATAAATGAAAAAAAGTGTAATAGTACTGTATTTATTCAGTCACATTAATTGTTAACGTAAAATAAAATCATTCTAATTAGGAATGTTACTGGCAGGACAGCGCGATGATCTCAGCTGACTCACGGCTGAAATAAAAAAGTAAAACAAATTAAAGCAGGAGAAACAAAGATATTTAAATTATGAAGAAAAAACTACGTTAATTCTATTAGTCATATTTTTTAATATAATGTAGTTTCCAGGAAATCACTAATAAAATAAATTTACAGAATCCAAACAAGTTAAATAAATTTTCTAATTAATGGCTGTTGTATTCGTAAAATAAGGACGAATAAAAATAATTATTCGTACTTTAATAGAACGAATCATTTTATAATGTACTAGTAGAACCCGCTGCTTCGCTCGCGCTAAATACAACAACATACAACTTTCATCCCCTATTTTATCCCCTTATAACATGAATTTTGATAAATGCTAAGACACGTATTTATTTAATTTTATTGAAGAGTATGTATACCAAGTTTCAAGTAAATCTGATAATAAATATTTTTTGGATTGTATTATAACGTGTTTTCTCGTGGGATAAAAAGTAGCCTATGTCACTCTCCAGCCCTCCAACTATCTCCACACAAAAAATCACGCCAAACAAACAAACACACAAACACATTTTCACATTTATAATATTAGTATGGATATTATATAATACATAGAGGAGGATGCTGCTATTAGTCCGATTAGGTGCAGGAGTTTCTATAAGAGCTAAAAACGCACTCACATTCCTTTAAATGCCAAAGATTTTTAAATTTTAGAATTTTTATGTGTAAAAAGTGATTTTTAGGTGCAGGAGTTTCTATATGCAAAAAAAATAACCTCGACCCACAGAGTTGGCAACTTATTTTTTTAAATCCCAACGATTGTAAGTTTAAGAGTTTTTAATGTTAAAAAATATTTTTAGGTGCAGGACTTTCTGTATGCAAAAAAAAAACAAAAAATTACCTTAACCTACCGAGCTAAACCGAGCTACTAATTCGACTAACTTATTTATTAATCTATTTGCCCATCCTTATAATTTATATATTTTAATAAGGACGAATAATTATTTTTTATTCATCCTATTAAAGGACGAATAGACACTTCGATAATTTATTCTAAAATAGGCCTCATGAACGATCTGATTAATATGTTCGAGGTCACATGTGATCTGTTTTTTTTACATAAATAAAGGTCTAGATGACTTCCCTCGATTTTCCCATGTATAATAAAGGAATCTTAACGAAAGGAAAACAATTTATTTACTTATTGACTCTTCGTAACAGTAGCAAAAATTTCATTACAATTACGGTAAATAATAATTCGCTAAACATTGAGGAAAAATATTCATAAAGCATTTTGAGGATTTATAATTATGCATAAAATAATTTTTGTATAATCCAAAGGAAGAGAACACAAAAAGTATACTCACTGACGCCACACGCCTGGTCACAGTATAATCTACTAGGATTATCATAAGTTTGCATGTTTGTTCCACACACTGGGTTGTACTCAGATGTTGTTGGGCATCTTCCGCGACACTGTCGTAACTCCGGCGTCAAGGTGAATCTAATAGCACCATAATAATAAAACAGTGAATTACTTCATTAACTATAAATATAAAATAAAATAAAACAAGAAGAGTACATTAGTGCAACGTAAAGAGTAAACAAATATCATTTATATTAAGCAAACGCGGGAATACCATCTGTTAAAAAATGTCGGATTAAGATATAAACTAGGGCTTTCTCTCTGTCTCGGATCACGAAAATTTCGAGCTTTTTCGAATTTTCGAAACTCGATACAACTACCTCCTGTCTCGGTAATAACGAGACTTTTGAGACTTTAGTCAAATAATTACCATTACTCAAAATTCTACTAAACCACCAGTATTTTTTTATTCTGATTACGTGGCAGCATTTGTAAAGTGAAACTTAGGACAAGACAACAAAGGGAAATACTTAAACCATTTGCTAATATATCTATTTATTATATAAAATAAGGAGAATTTTATAAAATCGAGTATATGATTGTAAAAAGAGCTGCAAAATGAACTATAGTCTGTAGCCATTGCTAAACCGTCGTCAGAGGACGCACTGATATATCAACAACAGAAGCAGAACACTGAAAACGAAGAAGGCATTTTTAAAATAGTCAAACAACGAAATAAACAATCACAAGATTTAAAGAAAACAAATACATCAATGATACTTCAGGGAAATTATAAACTTCATACAAAGAAATTTTTTATCGATTTTTCTAACGCACTCCGCGTTAGATTATTTTGTAATAAAATCAGATCCTCTCTGTCTGAAAGTACATTAAATACTCTTCGTTTTTATATGCTCACTGTAAAAATAAAAAAAAACTCATAAATAATTGTTAATTTTACTTGTATGTATTTGAGTATGTACCAGTATGATAAATAAAATACTTTATTAAAATACCTCGTATATAAATTGCCTAACTGCCTAGCCTATGAGTATGAAACCTATTTTTCAAATAGTCTCGAAAGTCTCGTTTTTCTCGGGAATTTCGCGACCACACCGTATCCCGATTTTTTTCTGGGACTCGTAAATATAATGAGACTGAAAGCCTTAATATAAACCGCCTGAACTGTCCTTCATCGACTGTGCTAAGCAAATGAAGACATATAAATATAAAGAATACTAACACAGTGGGATTAGTACTGGGTGTTGTTGTTTGATCCTGATTTGGATTCTGATTAGGGGAAGGGTTAGGGTTTCGGTTGGGATTTGGGCGCCATAGTCGCTGAGGCAAGCGACCACTAGGAAACATCCATCCATATCTATCTTCTAAATCTTCTTCTACATCCTCAGCTTGTCGCCTATTTCTGTAGCTCATACCTAAAGCCTCAGTACTAATAATTGCTGAAATAGAAAACAGAATAAAATTAAATTGTTCATATTACACATATTTGAGTATAATTATTCATTCTTAAAAAGTGAAATAAGAAATGTTTTATGAATATGACTGAATTATTATTTTTTGACCTCATCTTACTCGTTGTAAATTAGATTTTTATTATATTGATATGATTCTAGATATACATAAGTATTCCGCTCATTATAGAAATATTTTTTATGTAGAAGTACACTAAAGAAATAATATCGTATACTGCCTCGGTGGTGTAGTGGCTAGCATGTACGGCTGCACACTCGAAGGTCCTGGGTTCGAGTCCCGGGTCGGGCCAAGTTTAGTTATTGAGTCTTTCTGTATAGTAAGCCTCAGTGACAGCCCGGAGTTGGGAAGTTGGCGGTGTTTCACCCCCGTGCCTCGGAGAGCACGTAAAGCCGTCGGTCCTGCGCCTTAACTCTCACTGGTCGTGTCGAGTGGTCGTCCCACCAGAGTATGAGAGTGATAGGAATAGAGAGTGCACGTTGTGTCTGCGCGTACACTTGTGCACTATAATATCTCCTGCGCAGTTGGCTAGTCTCAATGAGATTGGCCGCCGTGGCCGGAATCGGCCAGGAGAACATCATCATTGATTATATTTTTTTAATTATATATTCATTATATACTATAATATATTGACCTAGCATTTATGATTAAGTTATTGTTATAACTTAGATGACGTGGAAAAAATTAAATATTGAATTGTCAGAAATATTTTCTTTTTTAAAAATACTATAGTAGGGGAGCCCAAGAGGGGATTTTTGGAGTTACTCAAGCGCGGCAGATTAACATAAGGGGGGACTTGCACTCTGTTGAGCATCTCCACCAGTATATATGTCATCTATATAAGGGCACGCGTGTAGAGCAGCCAATATTTAAAAAATATTTTGATAAGGTAGAAATATTTAAAACCGTCAGATTAAGGTGTGGTGAGCTAATTACATCCTGAAAAGTGTGCAATTCAATAATCTGCCACAAGCTGAAGAGGCAAAAATCGACTATAAAGTTTATGTACGATTTTAATTACCAATTTTAACCCCCTTATGTTAATCTGCCGCGCTTGAGTAACTCCAAAAATCCCCTCTTGGGCTCCCCTACTACTAGTAACTGATCTGATTCAAATATTTTAATTGTATTTAGTTTTCGGGATAGAGGTTGATAATTATTTAAATAAAATTTGACTTCAAATGATATAATTTTGATATATAAATACATACAAACTTAAAAATAAAATTAAAAAATATTACAGTTATTACTTACCCAAAATTACGAGAAGACAAAGCTTTTCCATTTTTATTTGAGAATTACAAAATGTATATATAAAAAGAAATATAAGGCACGTATGCACCGCGTCTGACTTGTTAATGCTGATAAACCGTTTGCACTTTGTTTATAAGTAACTTCACTGCGACCTTTTAGCCAGTGCGTAGTGTCGTGGACATTTTAATCGATATTTTATTTGGTTAATAGCAACATCGTTTATAGCAGGGCGTCCTAAGCCATTTTAAAAAATGATAACCTTATTATTTTCCTCATTATTATGCTCTTTTAGTGTTTACTTTGCTGAAATACTCTACGAAATAAATAAAATAAATAATCATTTAAAACATATTTCGTAAACGATAAGGATGACTTTTTCAAAAACAAAGTAACTAATTAATTCCTGATTTTAATTTAAAAGTAATAAGATTTTGCTATAGAAAATATAGTACTTAATATAAATATCGATTTATACACGTACATCACTGAATTAGGTAAATGTACGTGTAACGCTTTGTATAATTAATAATAACGTGTAAATTCCCAAAGATCCCAAATTCCCCGACGATCGGGAAAACATTTATTTTAATTATAGATCAATTATTACTTATTTATTAGTTATTAACATACTTCACTTATTAACTCAGTGGTTATAAATACTTATCTACTATTAGTACTTGTGATTTTTGCACCTAGGATTGTAAATACTAAGTTTGAGGATCTGAGAAAATGCTAGACAGCTTAATTTATAAAGCTTAAAAAACAGTTAATAATTATTATTATGATTTTAAAGATTTTGTCGATTTATTACTTATGCCTATAATCCAAAAAGTAGGTTTTTTTTTGTTTTACCTAGTATTAATTTACTAGAAGGGATTTACATTCATTTGAAGTTATGCAAAGTAATAAAATTAATTTACAATTACATTTATGGACTAAGATCCCGCTGCGAGATTGCTACGTTCATAGCGTATTTAATCGAAATCAATTTTTTATATACAATAATAAAAGGGACAATAAGTTTTGACAGGGGTGCGTATTCAAATGTGCCCGCTAGTATGTTTAATTAACTAAATAAAAGTCGACTTTTTGGAACAAAAACGATGCATTTGTTATTACAATGAATTATACTCCACTTCATAGAACTATACGTAGAGATCTTGAGAAATGATAGCTGCCGTTGCGCATTTGGCAGCCAGGTCTAAGCGGGTCATATTTTGGGACGTTTATACGTTCATCGCGTATGTTCATCATTTATATATCAAATTAAAGCTATTTTTTTTCTGTATCTGATAAACTACGTCTGCCTATGTAAAAGTGGCCGCAAAAGTGGTTGCGAATCATTAAAAATGTTTTTGTTACATTTATACGTTCATGGCGTATATTCATCATTTGTATATAAAATTAAAGCAATATTTTTTTCTGTGCATGATAAAATACCTCTCACCTATGTAAAAGTGGCCGCAATGGAAAGAAAAGAAGGAAAGAATATAATATTATATATCATTTGTCAGACAATAACAATGGTTACCATGGCAAAGATAGATTAAAGTGAAAGAGAGTTAGCGCGTTAGTGAACTGTTTGTTGTGTACATAATATATGTCTTTGTAATCGTCTTTAAAAAAACCTGTATTATGATACCCCACTCGATCGATTCGGACGAAAAGAACCGTTTAAAATTACAAGGGAACATAGGATCAAACAAACATACATACATAAATTAACACACGCACACACGCACGCAACGCGGACGCACGCACGCGCTTTATCTTTAAAGTTTCTATTCTTAGTTATTTTTTTAATTTTTTGTGGCGGTTGTATTTCGCCAATGGATGATAGATAGTATAAAATTGATAGCCTACTATAACAACCATACCGATAACAAGCGCCTACGCCGAGGGTCTCTCTCTTTCTCATTTATTCGTAATTACATGCTTAGCAAAATAAATATTAAGTATAAGTAAATTTTCAATAAGGTTTTCCTCAAGTAAATATATTATAATCTATATAGATAAATAAAATTAAAATGTCTGTTTTTAAAATCAAAATAACAGCTTTTTACTAAATGCATAAGAAATTATATAGGATATTTATAAGAAAACCACAATTAAAAAAGAAAATGTCTGTCTATCTGTCCGTCTGTCTGTCCGTCCGTCCGTCAGTCCGTCCGTCCGTCAGTCCATTCATCCGTCCATCCGATGAAAATGAAAAATTCTAATTATAAAGAAACTCACTACTAGTACTAGGTTGTATTTTTTATTTACTTTTCAAAAAACGATCAAAATACTAGATACAATATACATAGTCTTGTCCTAAATATAAAATAAATAAATAAATATGTTACAAAGAAAAAGACATTTTTTCTATTGCTAGTAACATTTATTACTATTACAGTGTGTTAGTTTAACACATTAATATAAAACCATTAAAATATATAAAGCTTATTCGAAATGGTCTGCATTAGCTGCAATACAGTTCTTTAAAACGTTGAGGCTAGTTATCAATAGAAACACGCACTCTTTCCATGGGAAAATTCTTTACTGCCAATCGTATGGATTGATTTAGGGACTCTAAATTATCATGGCATTTAGAGCAAGCCAATTGCGTGAATCGAGCTTTATGACCCGGCGCCGAGTCTTGCTGAAAGGACCATTCTTGGTTATTGAACATGGTTTTGCTCCCTAACTACCTTCTCAAGAATGGTATCTTGATACACTTGTGCTGATGTTTTGATACCTTTTTCACAAAAATATGGCTCAGTCACTCCTTCATAGCTAACACCCCACCAAACCATCACTGAAGTCGGATAATGCCACGCTGTACTCTGTTGATTAATTGGGAAGCTTTTTTAGAGGTTCAAGCATAAATACGGTCATTTTGTTTGTTAATATATTGTAAAAAAATTCTCAACCGTAAGCAAAATTTTTCTGTGACCTCCCTTTGCGTACCGTTTAAGTAGTTTTTTCGATTTTACCACCCTATTCTTTTTTAAATTATCAGTTAAGAAATGACCAGTGCGTCTTATAGGCTACGAGTCCTGAGTCGACTTTTAAAATACGCGGCATGGTTCTAGGTGCTATCTTCATCTTCCGAGATAAAATCTTTTGCTTTCGGACAGGATTTCTTAGAATTCTTTCCCATACTGCTTTGATCGAATTTTTCATACGAACATTACGTGGACGGCCAGATCTTTTTCAGTCACAAACAGTGGAGATTTCATTGTACCTATCAATAGCCCGGTACACAAATATTTGACTAATACCAAGCGTATGGAGAGTTTTAAACATTGTATTTGGCTCCATACCTACTTTATGTAATGCAATCACAGCGATTCGATTCTCTTTATCACCTCACTCCATTTTAATATCACAAACATCTTACAATGTATTGGCACGAAAATGAGAAAACACAATTAATAATCATATAAAAATGATAGATTCGAAATTCAAATGTAATATTTTGTTTATTTTTAATCGTAACAGTATTTATGGCTAGATATACATAAAATGTAGTAGATAATTTCTTTGTCTTTCACTTTCCACAAGTTATTTTTGGTTAATAAATATTTCTATAAATTATGTTACGAGTACTTTGTTACATATAATGGAATAGGGTACTTTTTCTTTGTTGTGGAATGTAATAATAATTAATCATATCGTCTCATATTGGTTCTAAATCGTGGACCTGTCTATTTTAGAAGTTGAACAAGCGGATCTTCTGAGCATGGTTACATCTGAAATTCAGAGAACATAATTTTTGCTTTAATTGCACCAATTTTATTTATTTTGAACCTTTTGAATGTCCATAAAATAATATCCAAATATTTATATTTAGGTTATATTCTATAACAGATTTAAGCTAATAGAGAATAAGACAACAACAACAAAAACAACAAAATCTCAGCAGCAGCTGAAATTTGGAAAGTTGGCTGTGTGTACACTAGAAACTTTACCCACCCACATATCTCGATGGGTACTTAAAGTCTTTAATTCTATGGCTTCTATGCTGTAAAGAAATGAAGGGCAAATACCACGGACTTAGACTACTCTAAATCGGTGGTAACTATAGAGACCTTTACTGTTTGTACACACACTATACTCGTACACTATGATATCACCCGCGGTAAGTATCCTATGTCCTTTTCAGGGTCACCAACTATCTTCTTACCAAATTTCATCTAAATCGGTTCAGTAGATCCAGAGATTACCCCCTACAACGTCACAAATTCACAATCTCACAAACTCACAAACTTAAATTTACCTCTGTATAATATTCTAATATAGATTAATTTATTTAATCAATTCAAATTTCAAATTTTTCAAAAACGTAAAACTACTTGAGTTTAAAAATTGAATCTGGACAAATAAACATATTAGTCTTCCAGTAACTGGATTAATAGGGACTTTCTCAAATATTTGCATAAATCTAAGAAAGTATCATATAAAATAACTTACCAATTCCACAATATTTGGCGCATTCTAACTTTCCAATATTATAATACTTTTTCCCATCGGATCCACATACTGGATTATATTCTGAAGTCGTTGGACAAGAATTTATACAAACACCTATATCGCTATTTGTAGCAGGTAAAGGTGATCCAGTAGAAATTGAAGGATTCGCTGTTGTTGTCGGTGGACATGCGAAACGGTACTTTAATTGGACATCTAAAATATATATTTCTTGCTAACATACACTAGATAAAAAGTAAAAAGTATTTATAATATAATATGTGGGATAACATATTATTTGATACTGATGTTCCATACATTTACACTTGTGTACCAGAGAACTGGGAAACGATTGATAAATGCATAAGATTCCTTCGCATGATTTCAATTTATCTTTCTTTGCAGAAAGTAATTAACATGCATCTTATGGAAGATGTATAAAATACTTTTGTAACTGACTTCCGAAAAGGAGGAGGTTCTCAATTCGTCGGAATCTTTTATTTTAGCAATCAGTTGAACCACTGCAACAAACTAGACAATATACCATTATTTACTAGTACACAATATACTCGTACATTCGGTTTCTTATAAATTTACTTCCATCTCAACTTTTATTTGAATGAAATAAGTAAAGATTTTACAATAAGTTAATTACGGGATTGACCAAGAAATCATGAAGGTAATTTATATAAAGAATGTATGTATTCAGCCCTTCTTAACGTCCTACTACTGGGCACGGGCCTCCCTTCAATACGAGGGGGATCAGGCCATAGTCCACCACGCTGGCCAAGTGCCGGTTGGCGGACTTCACATGTTTTTCGAAAATTTTCTAGGTTCTCTTAGACATGCAGGTTTCCTCGCGATGTTTATCTTCACCGTAAGGCAAGCGGTAATCATGTTCGAAATGAATTGCACATGAAAATATCAGAGGTGCGAGACCCGGGATTTGAACCCGCTTTACTTGGTTTCCCAAGCGAGCGCGTTACCACTGGGCTATCACTGCCTTTTATATAAAGAATACTACCGTTACTTTAGCCTAAAATCTTAAATCAAATGTGTAAAGACTGGTAAGAAAATTCTGAGTGCAGAGGAAATCGACATCCCTTTCTACATACTAAATCCATTGGTATTCCGACACGTAATCATTGTCTATGGATAATCACATCAAATCACCTTTTTGTTGTTGGGGCCAACAGACATACTTTAGCATTTATAATAATAGTAAGTAATGATTTTAATATTGTTATTGTTATCTGCAAGAGTATTAGACTATAACACAAGTTGTCAACTTACTAACTCCGCATACTTGATCACAATGTAGTTTTCCCAGATTTGTATAGGTTTTATTATTAGTGCCACAGACAGGATTATACTCTGATGTCGTTGGACATGAGGACATACATGCATTTATATTATTAGTCTCGATTAGTGACTTTAGCCCCGTCCTTTGAAGACATGAAGATAAGTGACGTAAACGTACACCTAAAAATATAAAATATATAGAATCCATGTAATAATAGCTTAATTCACAATCAAATCGAAAATATGTGTGCTAAGTTGCTAACAAAACTAATTTACTTGATCTGATTTTTTTAATTATTTGAAGGAGCTATAATCAAATCTTACATAATAATAAAGATAATATTCTCTCATTACCTACTCCACACTTTGCAGCACATAGTAGATGATCCATATTATCGTACGTCTTACCGTCAGTACCACATACATGGTCAGAATTTGGGTTTAATTTGCACGAAAATACGCAAGTTTCCATATCCAGGGCTTTATGTGTGGAATGCCTGCTGGGAAATGTTAAGTGTCAAATAGTATTTTTTGTATTTATGTAAATCCTGTTAAGCACTACCTCTATCTCTCTCTTTTTTATATTTGATCTTTTGTATATATTTTCTTCTGACATATTTTTTTTTTAGTTATTCATAATGAGTGAGAAATCAAAACGTACCCATCCGAAGATTCCTCGTAGTCGGGAAATATTATTCGATCATAATCACGATTGTTTTGTTCTCTATCATTGCCCGTAAGATGATGCCAAAAATTAGGATTATGGACATCCTTCTTATCTCTAAGTAATTTATACTTTTCTTCAGTGCCCCTGGTGTTATCATAAACTAAATGTCGGCAAAAAACACTTCGCTGATTGAAACTTAAAATAACTGAAAACAAATTATTGTTGTTCATTTTTTTATTATTAGAAGGCCCCAGTCTATGTGGTTGACCTCTCAATTTTTTTCCAGATGAATTACATTTTTTTTTTAAATAAAACGTATTAAGAAACACGACCCAGGGGGCTTGTCACTCTAACGTCAGTTCACTGGATCGTGGTGAGGGGAGGGGCGGGGAGGGGTCCGTAGTGACCTTCAATCCAGCCGGGCGCGAAGCCAAGAAATTCACTGGTAGGCGGCCCACCTCGGTGGACGGTGCGCTATGCGGGTTGCTCCTGGTACTTCTCTGATAGCAGAGTGGACCGTGGAGTAACCCCACGGCTGTTGTGGTCTGCTTTGGCAAACCTGCCATCGGGGCGTCGTGGTTGAATGCGTAAGCGATCCTGCGACGGTCCATTAAGACGGGAGAGGTTCCGTTGGGTAGTACAGGCTTTGTCGGTGAGTCCCACACTTCGTGCCTAAATGTATTTCCCAACGTTAAAAAAGGGGGTTGTCACTAAAAATTTGCTCCAGGCTATTTTTAATAAAACATTTTTTAATTGGTGTTTTTTTAAAGTACAAACAAGATCTCTGTGACAAGTATCAAAATGTAGATAATTTTATTACAAATTTAATGATATAGGTTTGTTATGCCAAAACATCTCCCGTGTATAGGTTTTTTTAATTAAAAATATCCTGGAGCAAAATTTTGGTGACAACCCCGCTGGGTCGTGTTTGTTAATAGGTATGTTTAATGGTTTAAAAATATATTTCGTCTGGAAAAAGAGTGAGGGGTCCACCACATAGATCGGGTTCTTAGAGTATATATACATAGTAAATTTTAGGCTTCAATTTTTTTTTCATTTTAAATTTAAAATTGTAATTTTGTGATTGTTTCAAATTTCAATTCAAGGGATATTTTTGAAATTATCTATTTACATAATATTACAAATATTATATAAACATATATACATACAAACATAGTATTATTAGATTTAAAAAAATAAATAAAAAAAATTACTAAAAAACAATAGGTAATAATATCCTTAAGCGGAAGTGATTCTATAAAATAATTGCGTTTAAAACTATACTTAGGATATTAAAAACATACTTACGTAGCAATGACATGTACGAGTATATCCTCATCGTAAGAATATTCCGTATCGGAAAGCACTTATTAGTAAATTGTATATTACAAAAGACCTGTGTCAAGAAGGTATCACAAGGAGATTATATTTCAAATGTCTCTTTTAACCGATGTGTACCTACTTACTTATGTCTGCTCGAATCACCGTAGAAAAACCCATCGATGTCATACCTTACGAAGGCTTACAGATTTTATACCTCACTTATATAGCACAGTACTGATTCACAATAAGTGACTATATGTACATAAAAATCAATTGACGAGGTCAACTTAAAACCATAAAATTGGAGAGGGGATATAACAGTTTCATATCTTTACCAGATTATGCTTTCGACTTCGTAGCTAGGCATTGACATGACCTAGTATGAGAAATAAGAGATTAGTTCAGAAAAACCATCGATCAAAAAGTACTAGAAATACAATCAAAAGCAAAAGTTCTTTCAAAATGGTCACTAATTGTGTTAAGGGTAATTATTCTAGTTGAAATAAATATACAACAATGTAAATTGAACCTTAAATATAAAGCGCGCTCAAATTTTCAAATGAGCGCTCATTCAGTGAGGTCATTTTGATCGATGAAAAAAACAAATATAATAAAATATTTGTTTTGAATTCCGCAGTGCCGCTCTATCTCGAATATCTCTTTAACGCCAACGAATTTTGTCACAAATTTTTCGTTGAGTAAGAATATCAAAATCTTTACATAAAAATATGTATACATAATATTATATATAATTCTTTTATATCTACACATCTCTAGACAAAATCAGATCGATCAATTGTTACATGGTTTCGTGATAGAAAAGCAAACCAACAAACATACATTTTGTGTTTATATAATAACACTAGCCTAGCGACTTACCCTCGCTTCACTCGGGTGCGTCTCTACATGTGAAAATGTCCGTAATACATTTGTATAAAACAAAACAAATAAATAATAATAATTACCTCCGAAAACAAAAAAAAACACACTCAAACAAAGGTACGTTTTATAATTACAAAAATCTATTTAAAACAATCAATTTTAAAATAAGTATCTACTTAAAGAAAACACGAAACTATTGCGATCAACGGCGTTGACATGCTAGGGCCCCCTCCTCACCCTCTTCCCCCACTACCCCCGCTGTCCTCGCGCGTCGTAAGATACTCGTATCCGTTTAGCGAGATATTTTAATTCTGTGATCTTCTAATATAAGGTATTCATATAATTTAAATGGCGTAAAGGCCAGTTTTGGTGTAAATTAAGTGCTCAAGTTGTCTTATACAAAGTATTATTTTAGATCTAATTTGAGAACCATGGAAATGGTTATTGCGAGTCCATCTTAATAGATAGATATATGCTATCGCGAACTTTTTGTAGTTATTTTTTTTTGTTTTTCAATTTCTTAGAACACTAGCGACTCACCTTCGCTTCGCTCTTCGTCCCTAAGTTTAACTTAACGATACGTACGTTTTCACGACAATTAAGTACAGAATAGACTATACAGAGTTATTGGTAATACTTCCCGATCCCGTTATAGGTTTATAGTAGGTACAGGACTTTAGCTATCAAACGAACCCCAAAGTGCTTATGCCAAAGTGTATAGTAAGTAACTTAAGTAGTTTTAAATAAAAGTATCTTTTCGGATTTTGTCGCGGATTTATTTATACGAATATTAATACAAATTTTTTTTGATAATTGTGGGTAGGCTGTCTGTAACAACTATACCTCCAAGACATGTAGCACCTCAGTCTCTCCCGTGACCATGGATGCTGTAAAGCATTCGAAACGTCGGGAAACAAAAATGCAAATAAATCCGCGACAAAATCCGAAAAGATAGTTTTATTTAAAATGTCAAATATTCGCGTAAATCTAAGAAAGTATTATAACTTAAGTAGTGTTATAGTTAAAGAGGGGTTTACGACTTTAAAAGTTAATTTAAAAAAATAACAATGTATTTCATCATATTTTTTTTTATTTCTTCCTGATGCACATCCTTGTTAATTATAACCAGTAAAACAAAAACAATCTTCAAGCATTTTTTAATTTTAGCTCCAAAACTTTTGGATTTTTTATTTTAATTCTTTGAATAACTTGCAAATTTTCTGTAATAATCCCTATGCCACTTATCCTGCCGATCATTTTAAAAATAGATATCCATCGGTACATAAAAGTTACAGAAAGAATCATAAAGTCAAGAAAAAATTACAGAACAAAGAGACCAGGTGGAAAATTCTAACAAATGCTATTGTTAAGGAGTTCACTTTAGCAAGCTTATGCACGGAACCATTTTTGTTCACAAGTTATTGTAGATTATTTTTATATATGACAATTTTTGCTCTAAACTGAATAGTTTTCGATTTTTTTAAGAAAAACTGATGAATACTACTAATTAACCAACTTATAACATTACAACATTTATCAGCAAATTGCAAGATTTTCAGATTCAGATTTAAAGTTCCTCAGTTTGATGTATGAGACATAATATATAACCTTAGCTATCAACATTTTTATTTCCGAACAGTATAATAAAATTGCCGCAACTCAATCAAGCGCCATCGGTTCGCAAAATTTCTATTATTGATTATTTCATTGTTAGACTCCTTTAAGCTTACTCATATTTTTTATAATACTATTCATTTTAGTAAGGTGAAGCTACTTAACGGCACAGACATATTATGACTCATTTCTAAAATTCTTTATTATTCTTGATAATGGCAACTTTATACAAAAAAATATGTATTAAGCGTACGTTCACCTAAATCAGTCCGCTCGCAACGCGTATGACTAAATATATATTTCCCAAAAAGTAGTCATCTCTTCTATACATACATAACAAAATTTTGGTCGAATGTACATTAAATATTTGTTGGAAAATCTTATTGAAATAGTCATTCTCAATATTACAATATTATGGATACAGAGGCCGAATCTATAGTTTTTTGAATTTTTGTCAGTCTGTCTGGAAAGCCATCACGAGAAAACCACTGGACAGATTTTGATGAAATTTTGTATAATGATAGCTGGTTATCAGGATGAACATATGTTATACTTTTTACTGCACGAAAATATCTCATCTCTGAGAAATCTATACTAAACGTTATACATTTAAGGGGCTATTACTTTACAGAAGATATACATTTAAACTATTTATTAAAAAAGTTTATATTATAATATTTATATCTAAATAAATGAAAAAAATATGTAATAGTACTGTATTTATTCAGTCATATTAATTGTTAACTTAAAATTAAAATAATTCTAACTGGGAACGATACTGGCAGGACAGCGCGATGATCTGAGCTGACTCACGTCTGAAATGAAAAAGTAAAACAAGTTAAAAGCTGGCGAAACAACTCGATAAGATATTTACATTAAGAAAATAGAACGTACGTTTATTCTATTAGTCACATTTTTTAATATAATCTATTTTCCAGGAAATTATTAATAAAATAAATTTACAGAATCCAAATAAGTTTGATAAGTTTAATATATATTTTTTTTCAAATTACACATTAAATTTATACAATTATAATAAACAATAATTTAAACTCGTTATTTATTATAATTTTCAAATGTTAATTAATAAGCTCTTTTGATTTTCCTTGTTTCATTCATTAATCTTAACATGACATAGAATAATTTATTTTAAATAGACCTCTTTAAAATTGCAACAGGTTTTATATTGACGGCAGAAAACATTGGACAATAGAATATAGAATAGAATATACTAGTATCTTTATTGACACAATTGTTTGTTATTACATAAGCCTCTTGAAACCTGTGACTCCTTAACTAGATTAAACCTGTATGTCAGGAGTCAACACTCTCTCCCATCTTCAATCATAAATGCAAGCCAATAATATTACAGAGCTACAATTTAGTTTTTATTTTATTAAAAGACGTTATTAACGATCTGATTAATATGTTGGAGGTCGCATGTAAACTGTTTTTTCTACATAATTATAAGTTCTAGATGAATTCCTCAATTTACCCATTTTTATTATTATAAAGGAATATTAACCAAAGAAAAACAATTTATTTACTTACTGACTCTTCGCAATAGTGGCAAAAACTTCATATAAATTACGGTAAATAATAACTCGTTAAACATTGAGAAAAAATATTCATAAAGCATTTTAAGGATTTAAAATTATGTATAAAATAAATTTTACAAAGAACACAAAAAGTATACTCACTGACGCCACACGCCTGGTCACAGTATAATCTACTAGGATTATCATAAGTTTGCATGTTTGTTCCACACACTGGGTTGTACTCAGATGTTGTTGGGCATCTTCCGCGACACTGTCGTAACTCCGCCGTCAAGGTGAATCTAAAATAGCAACATAATAAATATATAATGAAAATAAAGCAATAAGAGTAAATTAGCGCATCGTAAAAACTAAATAAATATGATTTATGGTAAAGCAAACGCGGGAATCCCATCTATTAAAAATGTCGTTTTATGATATAAACTTGTTTAGCCTCTCGGACCGGTCGAGCTTACATTTACCGTCTGAACTGTCCTTCATCGTCTGCTGAGCAAATGAAGACATATTATGTATATGTAAATATAAAGAACTAGCGACTCGCCCTTGCTTCGCTCGGGTTCGTCCCTAGGTACTTTTTAACGTTTAGTATGGAATAGGTAGATTATTTGTATTATATCACCTCCAGGTAAATTTCTAAGAAATTAATTAAATTTTCTAACAAATCTATGCTTAACTGACACGCCGGCGTGTCTGCGGTCGTAGAGGAATTAAATCTTGATTTGTTGTGGGTTCACGCTTGTAATATTAGTATGGATACTTACACGGCGGGATTTGTACTGGGTGTTGTTGTTGATGTTGTTGTTCTTTGATCCTGATTAGGATTCTGGTTAGGGATAGGATTAGGGTTTGGGTTACGGTTTGGACGCCATGGCCGCTGAGGAAAGAAACCGCCAGGGAACATCCCTCCATATCTATCTTCTAAATCTTCTTCTGCATCCTCAGCTTGTCGCCTATTTCTGTAGCTCATACCTAAAGCCTCAGTACTAATAATTGCTGAAATAGAAAACAGAATAAAATTCTACTGTTATTTGTTCATATTACTTTAGTATAATTGTTTATTCTTAAAAAGTAATAAGTATAAAAAATGTTTTATGAATATGATTCAATTGTTATTTTTCGACCTCATTGATCTTATTCGTTGTAAATTAGATTTGTATTAGATACACTTATACATCATTTAAAACATAAGTATTTCTTTCAGTATAGAATTAAATTTTAATAGTACACTTAAGAAATAAAATGTACGAGCTACATTTATATATTGTATATGGATTTTTTTTTAATTAAATATACATTATATTGCATACTTTAATACATTGATCTAACTTTTTATGATTAAGTTTTATACCAATAAATTAATCTTGAACTTAAATGACGTGAGAAAAATTAAATAGTAAATTGTCAGACGAAATACATATCTTCATTTTAAAAATACTAGTAACTGGTGTGATACAAAGATTTTAATTGTATTTAGTTTTCGGAATAGTGGTGGATAATTAAATAAAATTTAACTTAAAATGTTATAGTATTAATATATAAATATGTACATACATACACACGTAAAAACAACATTAAAAAAATTACAGTTATTACTTACCTAAAATTACAAAAAGACACAGCTTTTCCATTTTAATTTGCGAAATACAAAATTTATATATAAAAAAATATAAGGCACGTTTGCACCGCGTCTGACTTGTTACTGCAGACAACCCGTTCGCATTTTGTTTATAAGTTGACTTCACTGCGACCTTTTAGCCAGTGCGTAGTGTCGTGGTCATTTTAATCGATACTTTATTTGGTTAATAGCAACATCATTTATAACCATAAGTCCCACGCAATTTTTTAAAATTATTACCTTATTATTTTCTTTAATCATTATTATGTTCTTTTCGTGTTTACTTTGCTGAAATACTCTACGAAATCAATAAAATAAATTTTATTAAAAATATATTTTAGGAACGATAAGGATGACTTTTAAAAAAACAAAGTTACTAATAAATTCGTGGTTATAATTGATAAGTAATAAATATTTTCTACAGAAAATATATAACTTTATATAATACTAGCGACTCACCCTTACTTCGCTCGGGTTCGTCCTTAGGTTGCTTCCCCATACAAACTTTCACCCCCTTATGGGATGATTTCGGAATAAAAACTATCCTATGTCCTTCCCGGGGTCTCAAAATATCTTCTTACCAAATTTTATCTAAATCGTTTCAGTAGTTTCGGAGCGTATGCGATACAGACAAACAAACAAAAAAAAAACAAATTTTTCGTCTTTATAATATTAGAATAGATATCGAGCGATGTATTATGCAAGCACATCACTAAATTAGGTAAACATACGTACGTAGGCTTTATATAATGATAACATGTAAATTCCCAAAGATCAATCTCCTAAACAATTTCCCCCAACGATTGGAAAAAGACACTTATTTTAATCATAAGTCAGATATTATTATTTATTAACATACTTCACTTAATTAGATAAATAAAAAACCTGACTCTGCATTGTAGTATAGAAGATTGAAAATTGTAAAAACATTGTAGTGTATTTTAATGCGAAGTTAATGGTTATTAGTACTTATCTAGTACTTGTGGACTGTGGTTTCTGTACCTAGGATGGTAAATACTCGTAATAAGTTTGAACTAAAGAAATATTAAGATAAATCTAAGAAAGTATTATAAAACTAATTTAAAATTACATGTACATATGTCTCCGACTGCATAATACTGTATTCTTTCACAAGCCAACATGTCCTGTCCTCATCTTTTTTAAAATTGATTTTTCCGCAGTCGGATTTTTAGTTAGTTAGAAAGTTTTTATTTACAACTTTTTAGTTTTTGTCAGTTAGACATTTTTAATTTTATTTAACAATTTCTTATCCTAAATTACTTTTATAGTTGTATATATTTTTGTTAATTTCTCTTAAGAACCTGTATTTTGATACGCCCCTCGATTGGTTTAAAAGAAAAATAATTCTCTCTAAAATCTCATCATTGAGTTCATCCTTTGTGGGCGATACACAATTATAGATTGGTAAAATGACTTTAACAAAATGTTCTGTTACAATTAAATTAATGCAAACAGTACTCGTATTATTAAAATACCAAGTGATTGCAAAGAAACAAATGGATTTTATAGTTGATGGTTTTGTAAGCGTACACCACGTATCAAGTATCAACTGTCAAACAGAATAAGTACCACACAACGGATTTCCTATAGCTTTTTAAACCGCTTAGTCATACTGAACCCTTAATAAACAACTATTGGGGCTTAATTTCAAACAAACTATACATTCCACAGTAAGATAAGTTTATCTCATAAAACTAGCATTTTTTTAAAAGGATAAAGTAGTCTGATGTGTTACTTTCTATTAAAAAAATATCTAATAATGTATTACTAAACATATAGATCTCTAAGTAGTGATAAGATAAGGCCTTTATACTTTGGTTCTAATTTTGTCTGATATTTCATGTTTTTTTTTTACCCGCACTAATTTTTTTTACCCTAGTTTTATTTTTGCCAAACCTTGCTTTTCCAGTTAACGCATTAGTCACTATTGATTGTATTGCTCGGTTCCTAACTGCATCCACGCCAAAATGAAATATTAAATACTAGCATTGCCCGCGGCTTCGCCCGCGTCCAGGTGACCGAAAACCAAATTCTTAGGTTTTACATATTAGTATACTCTTACATTATAATTTTTGTATTTTTTCTCAGAAATGAGATATTTTCCCGCGGTAAAAAGCATCTTATATGTTGACCCGGATAACCAGCTATCACCATACCAAATTTCATCAAAATCTCTCTTGTGGTTTTTCCGTGATGCGGTAACGGACGGACAGACAGACAGACAGACAAAAATTCTAAAAACTATAGATTCGGCCTCTGTATCGATAATAATGTCTATTTCAGAAAGATTTTCCAAAAAATATTTAATGTACAGATTCGGCTTTGTTACAATTTTATTATATGTATAGATTAATACGCCCACAATCATTATGATCATGAATGGAATAAAAAAAAGGTAGGTACAAAGAAATTGTTGTTATTCATAAAAACTACATCCCGTTTAGAACTCACAAAGTCTTACATAAATAATTCATATAAATGTGTTACTGTATACTATAATTGTTTTGACATCTGTAACATTTATTACTAATAAATATTTAATAGTACTATGTGGTGACTAACTGTCCACTCATACCTACATTTTAAATAGGAAGAAATTTTGCGGACTTAACCGTGTAAAATGACTATTTTAAATCAATTTCAAGGTAAAATGACTTGGTTAGGAAAATCCTGGTGAATAATGACTGATCCAGATGTCACGGATACCAGTAATTGACACTTAGTATGTCTAATTTAAATAGAAAATGTACATACAATACTAGAGACTCAGATCAATAAAAAATACTTTTTTATTGACTCGAGAATCACAAATTTTCGTATCTTAAACTTTACCTATTCTCTAACATAGTGCTATGTATGTTACTCACACGGATTTGAATGAAACCTGGCATATACGGAATATTTCCTGGGCTAACATAAGATACTTTTTACTTTACATGCAGACGAAGCCGCGGTCAAGGACTCAGTAATATAAATCCTCTCGTGTAGTACAATGTTCTTTAAAGGACTATTGTTTGTTAGTCCAGAATATAAACTAAACACTACCAAACACTCAAATCCGTATTTATAAATATTTATGTGTCTGATAGTGGTTGAAATTCCTAGTCCGAATCCGACTCATCTTGGTTATATTTTATTATTTTACATTAGACTAAAGATTATAATAAGCTTTATATTCACACAAACCTGAATGCTTGTATATCACCATTTTTACAAAAAAGAAAAAACTAAAAGAATATTAAAACACGTTTCTTGGTTACAGTACCCATATCAATTCAATTTTATTTTTCGCTTTTTTATTAAGATATACGCCAAGGTAACAGGCATTTAAAAAAAAAATCTCGCTCCCTGACTGTCCAAAACTGAGTGACTAAGTTTTCACGTAGAGAGCTCGAGAATAAACATTTTAATGAAAAAATAAAGTCTTTTAGGAATAAAATGTATATAGTATGTTATTTTACATTTGTATTATGTTTGCCAACAACTACATACCATAAGCAGAATATCATACTTAATTATTATTTTAGAATGAAAATACTCCAGCACCTCAGTGGTACCTACCTACTACTGTGATTCGTGATACTACAAAATATTAAAAGCATTAATTTGCTTTCTATTACAAATAGGTCGTATTGTTATAAAATTGTTATACATATCAACATATGCGCTTCATCTATCGGCTAATATTTATGTTAATGATACCGAAATTTATTTTGTTTGTGTTCAAGACATCGTGCTAAAATTGTTTATTTGAAAAAAAGTATTGTTTACAATAATTTTAGATATGAGTGTAATTAAGAAAATTATTTATTTACATTTATTATGCGAAAGAACGCCTGGTCTCATTCGAAAGGCGCGGCTTTATCGCGTCCTCCGACAGTAGCAAAGGTTATCGCGACTCCCCCCTTCCGCTCGTACTGGAGCATGCTCCCACTCTGATGCAGTAGACAGATAAGTTGCTGCCCATCCACATCCCTAAACGGATTTCTAGTAGACGATTATAATTTGTAAGCTTAAGTCAATTTGTTGTATCGATAACTAAAAACAGTGAGTGCGCACGCGTGAATCATTCCTGGATACAATTAGGTGGAAATGTTAAACTGGAGGGTATTTTTCTGCATAATACTCATCATAACATGTAAGTTCATTCGCTTCTAAAATATAAGTGAGCTTTATTAATAATAGTATTTCTTCAATTCATACATATATACCTAAATATACCTAAGTATCAATAAAAACTTCAATATTAAAAGATGAAGTCGTAATAGCTTTAGCTATCGACAATTAAGTTGGGCATCACAATAAAAAATGCGCCTTAAATACGTTACTACGCATTTGATTTATTATCAAAATCATGTTAAAGAAAATGATACCTACTTATATTAGGAACTTTATAGTCTCATAATAATTAGTCGCCAAATATTTGATCCTTGTACTTAGGTTACTATAGAAGTATAAGCAACTAGCGACTAATTTCGGGTTCATCCTTAGACAAAAACCAATCTATCCCACGGGAACCGTATATTTTTGCGGGATTAAAAGTAACCTATGTGCTACTCCAGACTATAATCTATCTCTGCGCTGCATTTCATTCAGACCCGTGCAGCCGTTCTGGCGTGAAAGAGTAACAAACATCCATATATACATCCACCCATTTATCCATCCATCCATTCTCACAAAACTCTAACATTTATAATATTAGAATGCATTATTCTAGTAAATTCAAGTACTTTTCCCTATGAGGGCCAATTGCGACCACGACGCATATACAATATACATAGATTGGCGATGTCCACGTCACGTTTTGTGCGTAAAACAACAGACTCTCGGTGTAGTCATACAGCATACTTATTACTTAATATCAATTTGTGTTTGCTTCAGGAAGTAAGTACATACCTAATTTTGTTATCAGTCACACTTTCGCGCCATTCGGAAGCAATTACTGAATTTCTTATCTTAAAATATGTCAAACATTAATTACAACTTTAATGCCAACTTTTAATTAGGTTTAACTAAAAAACCATTATTTCTACATGCAACTTTTCATCTTTATGCATCACTTTAGGGGCTGAATTTAAAGAATCTTTCTTAGTGTAAATTTATTCCTACAGGTATATTACAGGTAGTCGAACTTTAGTTTTTTTTAAATAGTTTTATACATGACCGCCTACTATAAAGCGTTGACACCTGCGTTGTGCGTCTCCATTTTTTAAATCAAACCCGCTAATTAAGCAAAGATTTTCACATAGCTTATTAAAGGCAAAAAATAAGGCAAAAAGCGCTTATGATTTTTATTTTGAAAGAACAAAATACATTATTGACTATGTATGATATATAGCATTTTCATGAGAAGATAGATCGTAATACGTAAGTCCGCTTTAAGATCTATAGTCAAATGACATATATACGCACATAAGTTTGCTAATTAGTCGTAGTAGAAACAAACAAAGCGTTGAACATCTGCGCTAACACCCAGACTGACTGGCGACTTGATCCTCGGGTTATCACCAACTAGGCTGTTTACAACTGAGTCATGCGAATAATTCTAAAGTTACAAGCTTCTCGAAAATAATGCTTATTTGCCTATATTTGAATATTTATTATATCAGGCCTTACATTTGGATTATCTTCTATACTAATATACTATAATATTATAAAGAGGTAAAGTTTGTGAATTGTGAGTTTGTGATATTGTAGGGGGTAATCTCTAGATCTACGAACCGATTTAAATGAAATTTAGAAGAAGATAGTTTGAGACCCTGGAAAGGACATAGGATACTTTTTATCCCAGAAATCATCCTTTAAGGGGTGAAAATGGGGATGAAATTTTGTATGGCGAATCAACCTAGGGACGAACCCGAGCGAAGCGAGGGTGAGTCGCTAGTTTCTTATAATAGCATATGAACAAGAATTTTTAAAATAAGGTTAAAACTAAGATTTTTTTTAAGTAATTACATATTTATGAATTACAATATTTCGCGAGTGTCAAAATGAAAGAGATCCTCTAACTTGTAATTACACTAGGTACTCGTTCGTATCTACGTACAGCAATAATATCCTATGTTTTTTTAACGTTGGGAAATGCATTTACGCACGAGGTGTGGGACTCACCGGCAAAGCCAGTACTACCCACTAAAATCCAACAAAACCTTCCCCCGTCTTAATGGGACGTCGCAGGATCGCTTACGCATTCTACTACGACGCCCCTTTTTTTTTTTTTTTTTTTTTTTAACGTTGGGAAATGCATTTACGCACGACGTGTGGGACTCACCGGCGTAAAACAGCCAGTACTACCCACTAAAACCCAACAAAACCTTCCCCCGTCTTAATGGGGCGTCGCAGGATCGCTTACGCATTCAACTACGACGCCCCGACGGCAGGTCTGCCGAAGCAGACCACCACAACCATGGGGTTGCTCCACAGTCCACTCTGCTATCAGAGAAGTACCAGGAGCAACCCGCATGGTACACCGCCCCCTCGAAGAGGGCCACCTCCCACCGCCCACCGAAGTGGGCACCCTCCCTGAGCGTTTCTTAGCTTCGCGCCCGGTTGGATTGCCGGGCACTACTGAGCCCGCCCCTACGGCAGCTCTGCCGAAGCAGACCACAACAACCATGGGGTTGCTCCAAGGTCAACTCTGCTATCAGAGAAGTACCAGGAGCAACCCGCATGGTACACCGCCCACCGAAAAGGGGCAAGTCCCACCGCCCACCAAAGTGGGCCACCTCCCTGTGCGTTTCTTGGCTTCGCTCCCGGCTGTATTGCCGGGCACTACTGAGCCCCCCCACCACGACAAGGTGAACTCGTGTTGGGGGCACAGCAATAATATCCTATCAATATACGTCTCAACCAATTTTGAATTACCTACGTCAGAGGTTCCCAATTTTCGTTTGGCTACGGAACCCTAATTGATCATAACTTTTTGAATAGGTCCCTATTTTGATAATAACTAAACTGTTTGTGTTGTGGTTAGAATACTTTCTTGTTTAGCTTGAAAGACCAAATAATAAATGAAAAATGTTAATAACTACTTATAATTACTTAGACTTCATATCTAACAACGTTTTATTTAACTCTCGGACTGAGAACCCCTGTGATCCTTTCACGGAAACCCAGGGTTCCGCGGACCACCATTTGAGAACCGCTGATCTAAGCCCTAGCCTAGAGTATCTTTACGAAATAATTTAATGAAATTATAATATTGACTGTTTTCTCATCGCAAAAATACCAACGGTTTTCCCACGAAGTGTGACACACATTACCTGCATTTAGGTAATACCAAAAACAATTAACGAAATTGTAATATATGTATTACTCGATTACATAGCACACAGACCACAGTAATTCTCCACACCACGTTTTGACAACAAGGATCCCAGAAAACGATCAAAAAGCTTTTATAACGAGATTTACAAAAAAATGTTAAATAACGCTTGTTGAAGCCAGTTTATCCTATAATTTTATATAAAAAGTGTATTTAAGATATAACTAATAGTCCCGCTGAGTTTTCTGAGAACTTTTGACAAACAATAAGTGTATTTCTAAACTACCTATATAGAATAATTTTAATTTAGATTCGGAAATTGATTTTTGATTATGTACAATCCAGCTATGTCCCAAACAACAATTCAAGACATTTTGAATGTACAACTGAAAGCACATAACAATTGATCAATTAATCTACGACTAATAAAAACAAAAGTCGAATACTTAATCACAAAATAAAGTTAAGTTAAAACAGCGATAACAAATAACAATACAACTGTGTATTTTTCATTTTCACTTAAATGTAGAATAGACATCTTTTACATATACTAGATATAATAATAGAAACCGTGGGAATATGTACGATATCAAGTTCCTGAGTTGAGTCAGTTGAAGAAACGATAGGGTTGAAAAGATTTGGAGAACTACCACTATTTGTAAATGATACTGATAAAAAATAGATTTGTCTATATAGCCTGTAATTATGTCAATATACAAATGCTAAAAAACTTAGGTATTAGATATATAAAGTTGCTTGTATTAAGTGTACACATTTTTAATATATTCAAGGTTGTATGCTGGAAGTTGATAAATATAAAAAAATTGGCTTTGTTTAAGATGTAGTCGTACAAAAACTTGTAATTTTTTGTGCAACAAATGTTTAAATTTAAATAGATTACACTTATAAAACATAACAAAAAATAGGAAAAAGCGAGTCAAAATTAAGCGCGCAGTTTTCGGCAACACCATGTGCTTTATGTGTAAAATAATATATATAATAAATAATATAGAGCCACAGATTAAAATTGGTTAAAACCCCCGTAACAAGCTCGTTTCATACATGGCGAATTTTTCTTACCAACTATTAGGTGTGCCGAGTAAGGAATGGGATTCTTGTCAACAAATCAAATGCTATTTCAGAAGCCTACAGTATCCACTTTATATAATTAGGTATAACGTATAAATGTTTTGTATATAATATGTATTTAAATTTATATGATCTTATTCAAATAATAATAAAGGAATAATATTTATATTTATAAAAAAAGAAGAAAGAAAGAAAAAAAAAGAAAAAAAAACATACGTAGGTATGTAAAGAAATGATGAAATTATTATATCGTGCATCACTCGAAGAAGAATGTCACATACAAGTTTCAATTAATCGAATTGATATACATAAACTTTAATACAGCGATTTCATTTAAAACAGCTATTATCCTTATGGAATAAATAGAAACAATAATTGTTGACTAAACTAAATTTTATATAAAGCAAAAATTTCACAATTTTTTTCTATATTTTTTTATAATTCTATTATAAAAAATACCATCGGGGTGTGCATTCAAATCACTGTTATCATTATTTACACTTATTTACACTAAGTGATAGCAATGTTTTGAAAATTATCCATATTCGATGAGATCACAGGAAAAGTATAGAAGAAATAAACAAAACTGATAAGATTAAAAGGGTGACACGAACTCGCATATGGCTCCTCAAAACAATGGAATAAAACAGCAACAAATGGGTCAAACAATTATAGGCATATGCATCGTTAAGTAAAATTCCAGTTATCAGAATATAGCTTACATAATTTTAATAAACAAAGTCGAGTTAAGTAGCGAAATTACTACAAATATTGATTTGCAGTGCATATACAAAGGAACAATAATATTTTTGCCTTATGATAGGTCTAGGTACTCCCCTCTCACCCCTAATACTTCTCTGTTAGCAGAGTGGACTAAGGGGGCAACCCTTTGGTTGTTGTGGTCTGCTTCGACAGGCCTGCTGTAGGGGCGTCGTAGTTGACTGCGAAAGCGATCCTACGGCGTCCCATTAAGACTGGAGAGGGTTAGTTTTAGTGGGTAGTACTATGGACTACAAAAGCTGGGTTCGGAGTTAAGCCTTATAAAATGGGTACTCAATCAAAATTATTTTAGAAAAATCGTGTAACCCACCTTCTAGCAAATGGAAGATTTTAATAATTTGTAATAATAACCCTCTTATAGAATTAACCCTATCAAAAGAGTTACCATATCGTTTATAAGTCCTTCTATGACGTTAACCCTTTTCTTCTTTTTAAGGAGTGATAATGGAATATAATCCTTAAAAATCTATTTTTTGTAGCAGAATTAGGAGCGGGAATAATTATCGCTTTGTATTTCTTTGTCTAAAAGTTATAGTTGCGTTAACAGACGCAATCCATTCTGCCAGTGTCACGTTTTGTGAGGAAGACACAAATGAGATTGAGCGGTAATTTTGAAATTTGGTAACTTTATTGTGGAATTAAAACTATAAATGAATGATCGGTCTACAAGAGTAACCTATAACAATAGAAAAATAATTACGTAATACACACATTGATTGAGAATGAAAAAATATATACATAATGAGAACTATATTATAATTTAATTTTATTATCTACTATAAATTTAACTAGTTTTTTAATAAATGGACTAAATACAAGGGCTAATAAACATTTGGTGTTAACTGGGCGGTGAATTTGAGGAGGGATTATATCATATAGAGAATATTTCAGTTTGGGACAATTAAAGAGAATATGATCAGTGCCCTCACACGTAATTCTTACTCAATAAGTTGAATATAATTATAAACCTATATATGTATTTAAACAAAAAAGTACCATGAATTACTTCAGAAGATTGCCGTTACAAAATGCACTGATTGATTTTAATATACGTTCCTTAGTTTAAAATATCTGATATAATAAAATTTATTTATTTCAGTTTTGTACGAAGCCCAGCCAGCACGTCTACCATTCCTCCGACCGGCGCACATCGGAAATACAAATGAGGTAGCGGAGGAAGGCATAGAAATGCGAATCCCATCTGAGTTGATCCGTGCTCGAGTGAGGGAAGGTGTGCCGCCACCACTCTGCGCCGGACACTGTGCGTCGCCCCCCGCAGGGCCTGTGTGCGCCTTCGATGCGACCGGGACTGCTAGAACCTTTGCTACGTTGTGCGAGCTTGAAGCTGTGTCGTGCCGTGAAAGCACTTGTAAGTTGACTTATAATTTGAATATAATTCCGATTTTCGAATCCAACGCCGACCCAGCTGGCTGCAAAAGCTTCGAAAGAAAACTACAGAACCGATTCGTCATATCAGAAAAGCTACAGGAAGTTATAAAAGAATAGTGGATGACATCCTCATGGATGTGGTGGGACCAAAATTTTTTCGACTTAAGAGAAATGGACGATGATCTGAGTTTTAGATTCATACTTAACAGGGGGTTAAAAATATTAATAAGACGAACGAATATCCGAACCAATGAGGATGTCTTGGCTCTAATTAGGGACTAAACAAAAAGTTTCTTAACCCTTTGCTTCATATAAGGTGCTTAATACCCTAGGTTTCTTTTATACATACCTACCTGTATCATCTCGGGATGAATCTTGACAAGAAGAACGAATAAAGTTTTTATTAAATTTACATAATTTTGATGTATTACTGTAACGTATTAAGTCTCAATTTAAAAAGGTACTTACAATAAAGCTTCATGTGGAAATCGAACTCGTAGCCTTTGGCACAATAAGTACATAAAAATATGTACATAATACTTACAAAGCACATAATATATATAATCTGAGTTATTGCTACTACTGTACATTTATTTATAATATCATTTATAAATCTTACTGTTAGCCGAATAATATTTGCTATCTTTCAATTTACGAGCCATCTGTTCTAATTACGACTTCGAATGCTATATTAAGGAAAGTCCAAGGAATAAACAGAGATATCAAATATAAATCATTCGATTCCAATAATAGTCCCTGGTGTATTTCCGATGCAAATCATTTTAGCGGCGTTCTTTAAATAGCTATCTAAATGGTTCTGCTTCTTCTATTATTAGAAAAGGTTATGGAGTTGTGCCTGTTATTTATAAGTTAATTGCTATTATATCGATAAGTAGTCACCTAAATGACAATAAATATTAATTTATTCGTTTTCCAAGTACATACATAATATATTATTTTCTATTTTGAAACACTTGATGAGGATTGTATAGACCATAATATTTAATTGTACAAAACAAATTTCCAATTGCGAATTAATTTGTTTCGCACAAGGAGCGAAAAAATTATACACTGGCGTGCAAAAAAATCAGGCCACCCTTAATTTTAAGCATAATTTTTTGTTGACAATTGTTTGGTGAAAAAAAATACCGCAAATGTAATTAAGGAGATTAGACGCCTTTGTTTCCTTCAAAAAAGTCATAAAATTCCTGGAAATGCACTTGTGCGCTTAATTATAGTCTATTAGCAATAATTAGTGAATATTTGCATAATATGGATTGAAGCCACAAATACTGTTTTTTGTTATTTTAGAAGCTTAGTTGAGTTCCAATTATTGAACAAGGCACTTCTACTTTGATCTGCGATTATTAAAAATACTGCAAGATGGACCTGACCGAGGCTGAATCATCTCGAATTGTGACTTTGCTTGAAACTGGACAAAGTCAACGTCAAGTGGCTCAAGCTTTTTCTGTGAGCCGTTCTACGGTCTAGAGAGTGTACAAACGTTACATACAGACTGGTGGCTTTGTACGACGACATTGTTCCGGCCGACGAAGAGCCACATCAGAGCGTAATGATCGATTTATTGTGTCATCAGCTCTAAGAAATCGTCATCGCACAGGGGTTGACATTCGAAATCTCCTGAGAGAAGTGAGAGGTGTTAATGTTAGCGAGTGGACAGTAAGGCGCCAACTTAGAGCCGCTTCCCTGACGCCACGCAAGTCCGCAACTGGCCCCAAACTCACCCCTGCACATCGAATTGCAAGATTACTTTTTGCCCGAGATCACGTGAATTGGAATTTGGAGCAGTGGAAGAAGGTTCTTATTACTGACGAAAGCAGAATGTGTTTGCATGGTGCCGACGGCCGTAATTTTGTTTACCGGCGACCAGGTGAAAGATATGCACCATGCACTATGCGGGAAACAGTGTCATATGGAGGGGGCTCAGTTATGTTTTGGGCAGGATTCCGTTACGAAGCGAAAACTGAGCTTATATTCATAGAAAATGGATCCCTTACAGCCGCTAGGTATATAACGGAGGTTTTAGAAGATCATGTGATGCCTTTTACTGGGTTCATTGGAGAAGATTTTCTGCTTCTACAAGATAATGCTCGCCCACACACTGCTACATCAGTAAGGCAGTATCTTCAAGAGGTCGGAGTGTCTACTATTGCCTGGCCACCGCGAAGCCCTGACCTCAATCCGATAGAGCATGTATGGGACCATCTCAAAAGAAAACTTAGAAGTCGCGTAGTAGTCCCGAGCAACATTCAAGAATTAAAAAGCGCCTTATTGGAAGAATGGGAGTCTATTACACAAGATTATCTAAAAAAGTGTGTCAAATCTCTGAAAAACCGATTAAAAGCTGTAATTAAAAATAGAGGCGGTAATACGTATTATTAAAAATCATAAAACCAATCGAAATCTTTTAATTTTCCCATTAATTTGCGGCTTACATTTTTATACCAAACTCGCGAAAAATCATTAAATTTGATTTTCCTCTATTTTCGAGCAATAATTTTTATTTAAATTATTCAACGATTATTGATTTAGGTACCTAGGGTATACAGCTACCCATATATAATAACAAAATTTATAAAAAAATATCATATCTTAAGTTTGTCCATTTTCTCTAGGTGGCCCGATTTTTTGCACGCCAGTGTAGTTTAAGGAAAGATCCAAGAATATATAATGTTTTAAATTACTTCTTTCTCATTTCAGATTACGCTATAACAAGCCTCGGAGAGTGTTGACCTGCCGTATAGAATATAATAAATCTACCTTATATAGCTACCAAATATTTTTACTACTCTTTTTAGAAATATATTAAGAACGTTTTCGTGACCTTTTTCTATTTAAGACTCATTATTATTTGTTTACCAAAAAAAACATCCACTTCCTATATTATATTAATGTAAAATACTTTTATATTTTTAAATTAAAATTCTCAAAAATTGCAATAAGTGGAAAGTGATTTGAGTTATTCTTTATAAATTAAATTTAAGATTTTCATGTCAGTTATCATTTCGGTTATAAATTATATTTTTCTTCAATTGTATAGTATTATGGTAACTAAAGTATGTAAGCGTAATATTATTTATTGTACAAAGTACAAATCGTCACATATCTGATATTGTCAACATTTTATGTAAATTCATTAAATGTTGTGAATTTAGTGCCTTTTTTTACTTTTTAAACTATATTTAGTCACAAATCACAAGTACCCTGTACCATGACAGCTAGCGTGGTTATCGTCTTTTGTTATTCTATACATATAATAAGCCAAGTTTAGCTATTGTGTCTTTCTGTATAATAAGCCTCAGTAACAGCCCGGAGTTGGGCAGTTGGCGGTGTTTCACCCCCGTACCTCGGAGAGCACGTAAAGCCGTCGGTCCTGCGCCTTAACTCTCACTGGTCGTGTCAAGTGGTCGTCCCACCGGAGTATGAGAGTGACAGGAATAGAGAGTGCACTTGTGTTTGCGCGTACACTTGTGCACTATAATATCTCCTGCGCAGTTGGCTAGTCACAATGAGATTGGCCGCCGTAGCCGGAATCGGCTAGGAGAACATCATCATCATGTATATCCTATAGTGGACTCTTCTCTTTTTTCATTACAGTTGCGCAGCAGCTTTATTTTAGCTAAGCGCAATCTACCGATCGAATTAGGGCCGCCCAGTTTCTTTTTTCTGTAGTGGCTTGGAATTGCATTCAATTTGTTTGAATTGGGATATCTATTATTATATTATTATTTCATCTGTACTAACGCTGACCATAGAAGACAACAACTTGGAAAGATGAAAAACGTTTTTATAGTATCTTTAGATCTGCCTAACTATAAAATGCTGTTATAAGGTTCTAGGAGTTTTAAGAGTTGTAGTCATTTTTGTTATTATAATAATTACCACGTAATTTTCTCTTTAATGAGAATTTTTTTTTTCATAATAATTCATAATATTTTCAATATAATTTTACCTGCTCCTCAAATTGTTTGGAAAAGTGTTCCGAAATAAAGATTTTTATTATAATGATACATACATATCGGCCCGCCATCGTGAAAAAATTATTAATACTTTGTTATGTAAATTCATGTACTTGTTACCTATTGATACTTTAACGGCTAAACGAATTTGAGTGTAATTCTGAATCTAGATGGCTTATATTCTGGAGGCACATTTATGCTACCTTTAAGCGTAATGTAAAGAGTGGTATTTTAAATTATTTTAGGTATCCTCTCACCCTGTCTGGTAAGGGATAGATATACTCATAGTACAGTATAAGAATAGATCATACTCGTATAATACTATACTAGTAGTATTAGTAAGGAAGATACCCTGAAAGGCCTGAAAGGAATGATTTTTATTGAACTTGTAGTTAATGTCTTATTTTTTGTAATTTACTTTCTAGTAACGGACCATCATCTCTGCATAATATAATAAAATTCTGAGACGAATCTGTACATTAAATATTGTTTGGAAAATCTAATTGAAATAGTCATTATTATCGATGCAGAGGCCGAATCTATAGTTTTTAAATTTTTTGTCTGTCTGTCTTTCTGGGAACGCATCACATCACAGATTTTGATCTCATGATAGCTGGTTACCCGGATCAATATATTAGATACTTTTTCCCTTAGGAAAATATTTCATCTCTGAGAAATCTATACTAATTGTTAAAAAGTACCAAGGTACGAACCTGAGCGGAGCGAGGGTGAGTCGCTAGTAATACATATGCATACTTATTTGATTGACAACATCCATATGAATGACAAATCGTTTGATTGACTGATAGACAACGCACAGCTTTCTCCGCTGAATTTAGATGGATGAAATATTAAAAAAAAAATCCTTTAAAAAATTCTTAATCTCTAAAAAAACTCATAAGAGCATTTTTAGCTTAAGATTATAAAATCACAAAACTGTTCAAAAATACAAATCCAATTCAAAAAAGTATTTCTAAAAAACTTAAGAGTAACTATTTTTATGAAATGGGATCCAAAAGTATTATGATAATAAAACCATTGAGATCAGCCAAAGCGTTTATTACTATGATGAAACAACAAATAAATGCCCATTTTTATGCATTTGTATATTCAGTATATTTTGGGCTGTAAAGAGTGTTGGCCTAAAGTTTAAAAATTTTGGTAAATTTCAATAATATGTAATATGTGCAGTATCTCTCGTGCAGCTTAAGAGAGACGAATTCCATCAGATCCGGGACATTCGCCTTTGCTTATCTTCTGAAGAGCTGAAAAATAACAGAAAATATTTTAGTATACAAATTAAATCGCATATTTAATTTTTGTTTTGTATTCTATTATTATTCTTATAATATAATACTTTTCTACGACAGAAGTCCTTTTTTGTGTTATTTATTTAGCCTTCATCGTTTTCCTTATATAAACTGCGTTGAGAGTTTAAAAAATACTATCATAATTTATGCACGTACAATAAACCTTCATAACAGGATGATGAAAGGTATGAATCACAAACCAGCCAAGCGCCAATGCGCAGGCGCAGGCCAAACAAAGCGCTGGATTCGCACTTACATCGACATCACGTCGCACACTAGTGATCTCGGGGTGATTTGATTTGCACTATTGCGTTGTTGAATGTACATATACGGGGAATTACACAATTTTTCAAAGTCATCTTTAACATATACGTCCATTTTATTATGACATTATTATATTCGGCTTTTATAATATTCAAAGGATTATTAAACTAATAAAATTGTATATTTTTTTCAACTTTAATTGCACTTTAATTTAAGCTAGTATAGTATTATATGATCTGTGATATAGATAAGTACTATATTAAGAACTATATTTAGAAACTATATTTAGAAACTATATTAAGAACTATATTAAGAACTATATTTAGAAACGGTATTAAAATATACCAAAAGTGGTCAAGACATTATTATAAATTGCTGAAAAACAGAATTTTAATTAAAAATTTCACTTTTTATTTAAAATTCTTCTTCCCACATATTTTAATGCATTATATGTACCTGTACTTTTGCAAATCTTGATACAATAATTGCAACACAAATTTTACGATTTTCAATAGATATTTACACAATGTACGCTATAAATCAAATTCATTGTTAACTTTTTACCTGCTAGGCTGCCATGATTCTATTAACAAATATGTACGTTTCCACATAATGTCCAACTGACCAAAACAGCCTTATATAACGCTGTCACTAATCAAAGTATACAAATGCCATAGAATTAAACCGAGTAGTTTTGTATTACGAGTACAAATGATATTTATATAGATTATTTAAATGTACATTTATATATACTTACTCTCTTTATTTTCACAGTTGTAGTTGTTCATGACACATTCGTTGCCAAAGGATTTAGGTTTTTCTCCCTGTTTGCCCGCGCAGACTGGCTCAAACTTAGCACTGGTACAGTCGTGCAAGCATGCCTTCTTGCGAGCTCCCTCGGCTTTTAGTTGCTTTAAGTCAGGTTTCTCTGGACGACACGACACAACCACGATCATCGCCACTGTAAGTTAAGTAATAAAAAAGGTTAAAACAAAAATTGCGAAACTATGTCTATACATATAATAATATTGTAACTAAGCCGATTCTGTACATTAAATATTTTTTGGAAAATCTTATTGAAATAGACATTATTATCGATACAGAGGCCGAATCCATAGTTTTTAGAATTTCTGTCTGTCTGTCTGTCTGTTACCGCATCACGGAAAAACCGCTGGAGGGATTTTGATGAAATTTGGTATGATGGTAACTGGTTATCCATGTCAACATATAGAATACTTTTTATTGCGGAAAAATATAGCACCTCTGAGAAATCGATACTAAACGTTAAAACGTAAGTAGGGACAAACCCGAAAGGAGCGAGGGTGGGTCGCTAGTTTTTTTTTTATATAGAGCTCAGTGACAAACGAGCAGACAATGGAAAGAGGTACCTGTCGCCGATAACACCTACGGTTTTATTTTATGTAACAACAATACAGAACCGCGTTGTCGCTGTGTGTTTGTAAATTTCTTATTTGAATTTATGAATGAGATTTTGCATTACGATATTTTAATGTGGATATATTATCTAATATATTTAAACGAGCAATTCTTGTATATATATATAAATACACATTATTATAATCTGAATTATGGAAACGGCTCCAACGATTTTCATGAAATTTAGTATACAGTGGGTTTCGGGGGCGATAAATCGATCTAGATTAGTCTTATGTCTGAGAAAACGCGTGTTTTCGAGTTTTCATGTAGTTTTCTTTTGCATTATTCCACGCAAAATATGGTCGGTAATTTGCACACTCTGATGTAAGCATCGCGGCCCAGGTGCAAGCTCATCAATCACAGGTGTCCAGGTTCGAATCTCGGTCGCATACAAGGTTTTTGTTTTTTTTAAGTTTTTAGTTTTTTTTTTAATTGTACTTTAGGCCAAAAACTCCGAGCGGAGCTCGGTAGCCCAGGTACTACAATGTAATAACAGAAAACTTAATAATTATAATGTTTAATATGTTGAATCTTTTTCATCTCAATCTTCCTTCAAAAAACCAATAATAATAATCTATTTATACTTCAGATAAATCTTAGATCCAGATTAATCCGGTGTATAAATTGATCATAATTTTTTTATGACTACAAGACATCTCTGACCTTAACAAAGACCATTAGGGTCATAAAATGTTTATCAGATAAACGCAGGAAGGAACATCATTTCGGTCCGTTATCAGCTATTTAGTCAATTACGCATGATGTCACGTCCTAAGTCCTTATGTTATAGTTAAAACGCACAATGCCTAGAAACCTAGCTTATATACAAGGCCAATAAGATCTTTATACACATATCTATGCGGTAAATGTAGATATCTTAAGAATAGAATATAATTTTGCCTGATTTCCTCCACAAAGTATATGTATAGTAAGTTTGTAGAGGAATCGAATGCGGATGATTTAATAAGTAATAACATATGTATGAATTTTAGAACTATTTATGTATTATATTCGTGGTTTTATAATGGTTCAAAATATCCTAAATTCGGGAAAAGAGCGCCTTAAGATAAAAGCAAGACAAGAAAGCTCTAAATAATCTTCTTAATCTATACATATAATTAAAAAAGTAACTTAGCCAAATCTGTACATGAAATACTTGTTAAAAACCTCAGACCAGTAAAACTTTTTTATTGGTCTGAGTTAAAAACAATGACTTTAACGTATTATGTTTCTACAGAATATAGACCCTAAAACAATAGTTATAAAATTTTTGTCTGTCTGTATATCTGTTTGTGTGTTCGAATTTGACCCAAAAACTACTGGATCAATTTTGACAAAACTTTGTGTAGTGATAACTTATTACTCGGGTTAACATTTAGGATACATTTTACTAAAGATTTTTTTTTATTTCCACGGGAAAACACAATATCTGTTTCTATCGAGTGGTTCTTAGTTTGTCTAACGCTGACTAAACCTTAAGAGATACATCAAAACAATAAGAAAAATTTGCAATAGCATAAGTCTTTCTCCTAAGATACACTCGCAATAACTATGCATTTAAAGGGACGCACCAGAGCGAAGCGAGGGTAAGTCAATAGTAATCTATACATATAATAAAATTGTAAATAAGCCGAATCTGTACATTAAATATTTTTTGGGAAATCTTATTGAAATAGACATTATCGATACAGAGGCAGAATCTATAGTTTTTAGAATTTTTTTCTGTGCCTGTGTGTCTGTCTGTTACCGCATCACGGAAAATTATTAATTATTAATTAACCACTGGAGAGATTTTGATGAAATTTAGTATGATGATAGCCGGTTATCCGGGTCAACATATAGGATACTTTTTACTACGGGAAAATATCTCATTTCTGAGAAATCTATACTAAACGTTAAAACGTAATTAGAGACGAACCCGAGCGGAGCGAGGATGAGTCGCTAGTATACATATGTATATGATGCACTCTACTAGAGATGAAAGTAGGTAAAAAAACTGGTTCGTTATATTAGGAAGTAGTATATGTAGGTATAATCTAAAAACTTTCTCTAAAAACCTTTTATGTTATAGGTATTCTGTATGGTCATGGATCCATTTATCAGTTGTAGGTATTTTATCTCATTTTTGTGAAATAAACAATATATGATATAATATATATAGTGTATAATTGTGGTGGTAGTGGGTAGTGACAAATAAAGTATATTTTTAATTTGTTAGTTAATTAATTTAAGGTGAAGATATTGGTCCCCTAAAGAGGACAATATTTTCTTATAATAATCTTACTGTAAAAAAGTTAACATTGATGATACTAAGCAAAATCTATACAAAAAAGTGAAAAAATTAAAAAAACCTTACATCATAAATTTTTGAATAATAATTCAAAAATATTAACAAAATATCGACCAATTTCCGGCAAAATGTATTTGCCGAATTATAAAAATGCAATTTAAAATATATAATATAAACACTATATTCTTATAGTCATCCTAATAATTAATCTATACCAACAGATTGAATAAATCACAACCGAGATTTATTATGGTGGAATTTACCAGTTCATTACATTATAATAAAGGATGGGTTATCATCGCTAGTCTACAAATAAATATTATGTTATTATGATTCTCAAGTGCATGCACTATAAACTCTGAAAGCTTACCAAACAAAACGAATATTGCTGTTCTCATTTTTAACACAAATCTGCACACTTCGCTTGTTAAATATCAACTGGTTTAGAGTGCCTCTGTCTCTCTTTATACCTTTGCGAGTGAGCACTACACACGTACAACACTAACACCTTGTTCATGTATTACCCAATGTTAGGTATACATTAATGATTTTATTTCAATTATATCAAACCCAGCGTCTAAATGACCAGCAGTGGAAAGGATAAGGAATAATCTCGATTGTTTTATCTAGAGGTCAATAAGCCGACGTTGATTCGAATGGCGTCTGTTTGAAAATATATATCTAGTTTATTTTTTGCTACATACTGCCTTGTGACTCCACCTTTATGTATTTCTATTTAGTCAATAACCATTTAAGACATAAGTCCTGTTTTGTATAGATTCATCCAACGCGGGAAATGGCAAATTTAAGATTTTAAATAATAATAATAAAGAGTAATTAAAATGCATTAGCCATCCTAGAGCTATGAGCAATTAAAAAAGATGATGAAGGATGGAGAATAAACTGAAAATGGATGGACCATATAAACTTAAAAAATCATTGTATCTACGATTGTAATGTCGTTTAATATAATTTATGTAAAGATATATAGACAAATTGCGTCGGTATTTGCAGTATTGCTAATAAATAAAATCTTCATATTATTATTCCTCTCGCACATTTTGTGGTCAATAAACTAAAAAGCTGCGATCAATTTTTAAATAATAATTAAAAAAGACAGTTTTATTACAGAGATTACATAACTGGATAAAAAGCCATAATGGACTTGATATTGAGACATGTTTTATTTCTAACTGCACCATCATCGACATTAAAATCCATCGAGCCGTGTTTCCGTGACAATCGTCAGACTGACAAGAATATTAAAAAAATAATAATTTAGCTTTACGATTTATCTGTTTTATGTTTAGGTAATATGAGTATGTTTGTCAATCATAATTCTCAAAAATTACTATTTTCTGAGTACTAAGTACATCTTGCATTGTAAGATTCATATACCTAGTAATTAAAAAATGAAAATTAAAGTTCAACAGATTTGTATGGAACCATCGGTGGGCGAGTCCTACTCGCACTTGTCCGTATTTTTTTTCCTGAATAAACTAAATACTCAAATAATAATTATCTGTATACGATACATGTAATATGTATATATACAACTATCTGGTATCCATAACACAAGCTTAACTTACCATGGAATTAAATGGTGATGTGTGTTAATATCCCAATATGTTTATTTATTTGTATCATTGAACAGATTTCAATTTCATATTATATCAAAAAACATATTCTTAGAAATGTTTCATTTACATGTAGGTATGTAATAATTAAGATCAGTCTCACAAGCGATTAATAAAATTAAATAAATTCAAATTGATTTGATGTCGGGTGATTGACATAATTAACGTGAAGAATTAAGATGAGAGGTTGGTAGGAGATATCATTTTCAACCATTTCAACCGTAATTTTTTTTTTATATTAAAGTCGTATCAGTTACAGATAGCTTCTACATATCATTTTATAAATATCGAAGTAGCACCGAAAAGTATATGTATGTTTACATAATACAATACACATTATATTGCATTCAACGTAGGAAACGTATCAGTAAAAATCACGCAGAATATCTTCCGTAAACAAATGTTAAAATTTGGTAATTTGTATAGTAATAAAATTAAAATTTCTATTTCGTTTTTATAACTTAATTTACTACATAACATTTCAGGTTTTTTATTTGTATATATAATGCATATATTTTTTTATTTTTTTTGACAAATTATTTTTTAATTAAAAAGCGCCATCTATTGTGGAATAGCAAAACCAGTACAAAAATATTTCGAATTATTATCATTGTTTATAACAGATGGCGTTACAATCGGTCGTCGATCGTAAAGTAAAATATTTAATATATAAAAATTAAACATTCTTTACTTTTTCTAAAAAAAAATAGATCAATAGTAACAACTGTATGCCTATATGCGTGTACTCAAATACAAACGTAACGGAAAACATTTTATATAATAATAACGTATTTACTTTGATTTGACGTTATCATACAATGCTTAAACTTTTATTATATATATATATATATATATATATATATATATATATATATATATATATATATATATATATATATATATATATATATATATTATCATTGCCCGCGGCTCCGCCCGCGTTCAGATGACCAAATCCTTAGGTTTTTAGGACGAAAATTCTAAAAACTATAGATTCGGCCTCTGTATCGATAATAATGTCTATTTCAATAAGATTTTCCAAAAAAATTTAATGTACAGAGTTGGCTTAGTTACAATTTTATTATATGTATAGATTATTATTTCTATTAATAATAGCTTTTGCCCAAAGTTCGGTCGCGTAGTTTATATGTTGAATGATTAGCGCATTCAAGTAATCCCTTTAGCTTTACAATATTTATATAGTACTCGTCATATAAATACATAAACGTAATAATTTTATTTTACAAATAGAAATTCGTATTCATTATATTTACTTATTTTAAATGGCACCACATGTGTTTTTAAGTGATAGTTTCAAAATTACTTTGCTGTAAAATTATAAATAATATCTATATTTTTTTATCTTAAAGTATTTCAATTGTTTTAATTCATGTAGTTGTGTATCAAATTATTTCATACTTTATTATTTAACTTATAGAAAAACATATTATTAAGATTCTTATATTTTGAGCGAGCAAAAAGAAGCTATTCTCGTGTAATTTCAAGGATTTTATTAAAGGAACAATAAAAACCACTTTTAATATAAACATCTTTCTTTATTCCAACTTATAACCATACATAATATACACAGTACAAAAAAAACTCGTTTTCGCCTAGTACAGCAATAAGGACAAATTAAAATTGTCACATTGTTTAAACTTTCTTTCTCATGACATACCAACTGAATCGACAAATCTAATATAGGAGAAACTTATCTACACGCCGCGTTTAATGTACAATGCTTCGAGCGAATACGTTATATCAATACAATAACTTAAAAGTAAAAACTTCTTACATGTACTCGATGGAATTCGAATTAAAAATTTACACATTACATACACTATAGCTACATTAAACTTGAAAAGTTTGTATTTCGATTAAGGAACATAAAACAATCCACGCCAAGTCATCACCGGACTAACTAACATTGCACAACGCGTCCGTCGGACGACTCGCTCCCACTCACACTCGGCGCACAGCGCACAGCGCGTATCACACTCCCAACCTTACGTTAAATGCGGAACTTAGCGAATAATGTTACGTTCGAATTTGAGATCAAATGGGCGAGAGACGCGAGAGCTCAGTCGGCGGCGAGCGCGTCCTCGAGGCAGCACAGCGAGTCCTTGACCGCGTGGTACACGATGTTCTTGATCTGCAGCTTGTCCTCCTTGTTGGCGTGCTGGCGCGACAGGCGGCGGAACTGCTGCGCCAGCTCGAAGCAGCGCGACACGTTCTCGGGCGACACGAAGTCCTCGGCCACCTTGACGCAGTCCAGCAGGTTGCGCACCTGGTGCGGCGCGCCCGCCGGCACGAACACGGCGTCGCCCGCGCACTGCAGCACGGCGTAGCCCTCCACGCCGTAGTCGGCGTACAGGCGGCGGCGCAGCGCCGCGTCCAGGTACCAGGTCTGGTCGTGCACGGGGTCGTGGTGCGCGCGCGGGCGGGCGCCGCGGTCCAGCTCCGCCTTCACCAGGAAGTCGCGGATCTTGTCCGCGTCGCGCGCCGCGTAGATGTGCCAGAGCGCGGCGGGCGGCGCGAGGCGCGCGCGCTTGCGCGACAGCACGTCCACGCCGGCCTCGTCGGCGGCGCGCGCGGCCTCGCGGGCGCGCTCGGGCGCGTCGGCGGGCGCGCTGGCGTGCACGAGCACGTTGACCGCGTCGCTCACGTCCAGGTGCAGGTTGGTGGTGCCGCCCGCGCCGCCGTACGCCGTGTACATCTTGGGCCCGAGGTCGGGGCGCACGAAGCAGTCGGGCAGGCGCGCGGCCAGGTTGAGGCGGCCGTGGCGCGAGGTGTACTCGGCCAGCGGGAGCGCGCGCATGAGGTCGTCGAAGCGCGCGGGCAGCAGCTCGGCGAAGTCCTCGCCGGGGGGCCAGTCCTTCAGCTTGAGCACCATGGGCGCGCCACGCTCGTCGCGCAGGCGCTTGGCCGCCAGCTCGAAGCCGTCCCAGAACTTGCGCGCGGGCTGGTTGGGCACGACGAGGCCGGACGCGCAGTTCACGAGGTCGACGCGCGCGTCGCCGAAGTCGCGCGAAAAGCTCTCCGGCGTCCACAGGTCCTTGTCGAGTAGACTCGACACGTCTGATACTAAAACTGGTTGCCCACGTTTCCATTGGTCCTGTAATAATGAGCAACATATGATCATTTGTTTCATTAAAAGCTATGAAAATCTTAACATGAAATTAATGCATGATTTGATTTGAAGAAAAAAAATGATTTGTATTAAATATTTATAGACCTGACTGATCATAATTCCTACCAAATTTATGAATAAGATTTACTGCATTACACATTATTATTAAGTTCTAATGATTATTAAGTTCTTAAATAGAACTATTTGAAACTACAGCTATCGCACCATTAAAAACTCTCAAACGACAAAAAGTAAATTGAATGTATACTATAAAAAAGAAACATAAAATATAATTACCTGGAAAGGTTTATAGTTTCCGGGATGCACAGGATCGGTGAGGTGCAATAACTTGCCGTCACAGAGCCATGCGTGAGGAACATCTGGGTATAACACCTTAGATTCAGTCAAGGTCATTATCCGTATGGGCAACTCCTCTCTGCCGCGCCCTCGGTCGTATCTCTTAACCACATTTGATAACGCGAAGGGTTTAGTCTCGCCATCTTTCTTTTCATCTACAACACTGGATATGACGTCATCGAGGATGTCACTTTTGTTCTTCTTTTGCTTCTTCTTGGGTGGAACCTCGCCTTCTGGCGCCGGCCGTATTAATAGCTCGCGAAGCGTTGAAAAATTGCTGCCCTCTTCTGACTCTGATGAACTTGTGTCAGACTTGTCTTCTTTCGTTTCCGCCTTTATAGGTATATCTGATAACCAGCTAACTATTGAACCAGTTTTGCCATTCTCTGATTTCACTGGTGAAGAGCCATTGGTAGAAGCGTTTTCTTCTTTGACGTCTTCTTTTTTGATATTCTATAAAAGAAAATCAATTATAAATATTTTTGTCTAATTCTGTATAATAATAAATGAATGGGCAAAATGTGTTGCTAAGCGCAAAACTCGAGATCGGATGGCCCAATTCGGCTATTTTTTTTTGTCAAATATTCATTGATGTCCGAGAAAGGTTCTTATGAAGAGAAAAAATGGAACAATTTCACGCAAAAAACGTAAAAATCTCATTTTTCTTTTCATTACCACTACTTTATAATATTATGAACACAACCTTAAAATTAATATTATAAACTACTTGAATACTAATACATAATATAGTCCATCTATTCAATACTAACGATTAAAAGGTACCTAGAGACGAACCCGAGCGAAGCGAGGATGAGTCGCTAGTTTATAATAGTATATGAGATACATACGACATAAAGACGGTTAAGGTATTTTTTTTAAATAAAGATTGTATTTGCTTTGTTGATATTCTCTATAAATGGTATAATATACTATTTATATGCGCTATTTAACACTATTTCCCACATTTGTGGGTTGACTGGAAGAGATCTCTTATAGAGATAAGTTCTCCTTTGTCCACGTCACTTTCGTGTATTATTTTTTTTGCATTATCTACTTGTTTGTGCAGTAAAGAATATATTAATATACTAACTCAACCCTTTTTAAGTCCCATAGCAGGGCACGGGTACCATCTGGGTATCTTGAATGTGTGAGTATGAAGGTAATCAAGTAGGCTTAGTGTACAGCTAGGCCAAAGCATGTTAGCAAACTTTAAAACACTTGCAACGAATAGTTAGGTTTTCCAGAACCTCGCAAATATCCTCACGTTTTTTTCTCCTCATTTTAACAAGTAGAAAACCACGTTAGAAATGATATTTCGATATAACTCTCAGCAAAAACCAAAACAACATAATCTACCACATAAAATAAACTATAAATGTAGGGGACGCGACCTACCACTAAGCGATCGCAAAATTAAATACAGTCTTATAAAGTTTATTGATTTAATTATATGCTATACTGATAATTGATGATAATGAATGCAGCCGGTTTGATTGCTGTCCGAACATGTGCTACCTTTTTTAGACGTGTTTCTACGTATTTATAACATACCTACTAAGAATTATTGCTTAGGTGTTCGGTAGAGCAACCTTTGAACCGAACAATAATATACCACATAAAATAAACTAAGTCCTTTAAATTCTCTAACAATCTAAATCCCATAGCTTTATTGGTATTGCTGTCTAAGTACAGAAAAAGCCGTTCAAGAAGTAGCTTTACCTTTTGCAAAGCCCGTTGTAAGAGTTGCCTTGCAGCGGTCTTCATGGGCTCCGGGGCGTCTGTACTGTGTCCGCAGGCACAGGGCGGGAGGGCGAATGCCGCACGAGCCCTATGAGCCCTCGCGGCCGCAGCGGTGAGAGCGCCCCCGGCTGCTATTTGGGTCAGTAACAGTCTACGGGCAGGATGAGCACCCCCTGACGTACATGTTAGCCATCTGGAAGAGATGTGGATTATATTAGTCATTACATAGTATAAAACAAAGCTTCCCGCTGTCTGTCCCTATGTATGCTTATATCATTAAAACTACGCAACGGATTTTAATGCTGTTTTCACCAATGCATAGAGTAGTTCTCGAGGAAGATTTTAGTATATAATTTGTTAAGTTTTTGTATGCATTGGCTAAAATATAACAATATTTGTTGGAGGTGTCGGTAAAAAATATTTTGTCCATGAATATAAAATTACCATAAATTCTATTCGTAATTGTAATTCGTACAGAAAATAACAATCCATTTTCATTTGAGATGTATACGGAAATAAGAGATTATATATAAACTTAATAAGAAATATTACTAAAAGTACCTTTTAAAGTACTTCTTTTAACATCTTAGCCTATTAACGTAATTGTATACATACATCTCCCTATCTTGTTATTATAAATACTGTATCCCCATTTAAAATAGGCATATAAATAAATACGTAAAACCAATGTTTACCTCATTATGAGCTCATAATATTTTTTGTTATTGAGTTGTACAGTCATTATACACGGAGTTTAGAGGAAAATGTTTATTAAACAATAATAACAACCTTATCGCAAATTATACTTGTTTTTTCTATATATAAATACCAAGAATATAAATAAAATTTGTTTCCTCCTTCACGCCGTAATGTCTCAATACATTTAAGCAAAGCCCTGAATGGAGATAACTGTATCATTAGATTGTTTCATCTCAACTAATTAAGCTGAAACGTACTATTTATGGAAGAGCGAAATCCTCTGGGCACGCGCATTTTTACTTAAAAGAGGATTTTCTACATTGTTACTATCCATATTGACGACACGTTTGGCTCAGTTTGTAGTGACCCTACTTGCTGTGCCGGCGGTCGCGGGTTCGAGTCCCGCTGGGGGCATTCATTTGTGTGATGAGCATGAATGTTTGTACTCTAGCCATGGGTGTTTATATTTATAATGTGTCCGTATTTAAAAGTTATATAAGTGTAGTGTATCAACTATCTAGTATCCATAACACAGACCTCGTAGCTTACCATGGAACTAGATGGTGACGTGTGTTAATGTCCCGACATATTTATATTTATATACTTGTTGTTGAATGGAATAAACTATTTATTTTTGTATTTTTGTACATATATTCTATCACATGAAAAAACTAGTGATTTAAAATATAACAAACTTACCCAAATGAATCTCTTTCACCGTTGGTAGAGGTATTAGCGGAACTATTGCTCTCGGTCGGGGAGTTGCCCGATTCACCGGACGTTCTTGACTGTTTAAAATGAAATATGTATTATTAAAATATTTGTATGTACAACAGATTCTATATATTAGAAATACCAAAATACCTGATAGTAAATCTGTATAAATATTGTAAATGTAAAAGTTTGCGAGTATGTTTATTACCTTTCACGCCAGAACGGCTTAACGGATCTGGATTAAATTTGGCAGAGATAGATTAGTTTGGAATAACACATAGGCTACTTTTCATCCCGGAAAAATATACGGTTCCCGAGGGATAGATTTGATTTTGTTTTATATCTATTGCTAGTATAATATAAATATAAACAGCAAAAAAAATATAAACAGCATTGGTTGTGAGGCTTGTATTATTTTTTATATTTTTTTGACAATTCCTCGTAATTATTAAGCACAGTGTAAAAAAATAACTTTTGCCTTAATTAACTATTTTGAAGAGAAGATGTGATTGTTCGTTAAATAAACCAACCAATAACAAGTGCATCCTATGTAATGGTTTTGTGGCACGGAAATAGCTATTACTATCCTGTGGCTGATGTTTACGGTTGTCAATAATTTAGTTTACTATCTTCAGTCAATATGTAGGTACTATGAGCATTTCTTATATGAAGTTTAAATTTATTATTTTTCTTTGTAATATACGTCACAACATATAATGTTTGTTTGTTTATGAGTAGGTAATTAAAATTTATCTACATATTGAAAGTTTTATTGTTAAAATATTTTTTAGATAAAAGTACTCTTAATATAAACTAAACTCACCTTATAACAGTCGAGGCATACAACGAACCCGCACTTCCCGCACGTCCAATGGAAATTAAATAGCGTGGTCTCACAAACATCGCAAATCTCGCGAACTCCTTGCACTACTCGCTTCCATGCTATCGTTTTATCTACAACAATAAATTAAAATTAGATAATTATTAATGAACTCGGAGGGAAATATAAAAACTCACACTTTTTTTTAATTTTAGTAAAACTAAACGGAATGAATAAAATTAGTTCTATGTTTATTGTTTGTGTAGTCTTCCGTTATTTTAATTTTTATTATATATAATATTATAATAATACACGATAATATTATTCATTTTAATATAAAGAATTTTATTATTCCCATGTTTATTTTATTATCGTGGGAAATGTACATTGAATAAAATATACTTTTTTTACACGACAAAAAATCAGAACGTGATAACTAACTTTTTAATAAATAGATTAATTAATAAAAAATTTTTTAGTATTTTTATGTTTAATATACCCAATAAACTTGAAATATAATTTAAAAATAAAACTTCAAAAAATTACTTCTTTGAAAAAGACTAATATTATCGAAAAGTACCTTCATTTATATGGTGTGATTCTGCCTCTTTCTCTTGCTGTAGCAGTTCACAGAACTGATCCCCGATTTCTCTTAATAGGAAACAACTCATTTCGATGTCTAATTCGGCTGCACCGGCAGATGACGACAGCCATAATTTTTTATCCTCCTATAAAAAAAACAATATGTCTATTTAGTATATAAATAATAAAATAATTCGTCATAGTTCTTTATACTTTATAGTCATCATTCAATTAAATGAAACAAAGGTTTGCTTACCTCCTCAGCATCCTTATAAGGGTCCGAGAAGCCGGCTATAGCTAATTGCCTATTCTTGGCATACTTCAGTCTTCGGAAAGCGTAAAAACGGCAAAATATATTCGGCATGTCCTTGTCCCTTTGTGCGGGAGACCACCGACATTCGCGGCATTTCGCTAATCTCGGAGCCACTTCAAAACATGGCCCGTTTTGTAGAAACGATTCAGATGTTGACTTAGTCCGGGCGGCCGATGGTGTTCTACGTGGGGGATCTTCTCGTCGGCGACCTCCACGACCTCCACCCCTCGACCTACGACCCCTAGCTCGGCCACCACCACGTTTACTGGACGTGCTCCCACTACCACTACCACTGCCACCTGAATCAGAGTCCTTATCATCACTTTCTTTATCACTCTCACTGCCACTTTCTGATGCTTTCTTTTTTTTAGGCTCATCGCTCGCTTTTTTTACCGTCCCTTTTTTCCGTTTCGCTTTTGGCGGCTTTCTTTTCGGTGGCGATGTAGACTCGCGCTCTGAACTCGAACTGTCCTCCTCTGCGTCGTCTACACGACCGTTCACTTCCTTTGGTTTTCGTGGTTTTGACGTTTTTCGTGCACCTCGCTGGATTGACTTTGCCGCAACCGGTACAACTATGTTTGAACTTGAATCATCTGGTTCCGACATACGAGTGATAGTCATCGGTAAGGTTATACAAGTTCCGCCACCACCTGAACAATCTCCTTCGCCGATGGGCGCAGTTTCATGTCTTTGTAGCCAAGCTTTTTTGCCCAAATGCCGTACAGGCGCTGATCCATCCCTCGGGCTCGGAGATGCAATTTTGGCAGGTGTGTCGCTATCAGCTACTGTTGTAACTGGAGGAGTGTGGGGAGGAGACGACGTCGTCGGTGGGGCAATGGGCGGTGTTGAAGCTACTGGGGGGACTGGTGTCGCAGGCGCAGGACTAGCTGACGGCGTAATTTGCGGCGCGGGAGAAGCTCCGGCCGCTTTTTCTGGGGTTTCAATACTACCATCCGCTGATGGAACGCGCACATCGCAAGGGGGACCCGGAGCTTGTGGAGCCGGTTCCGATCCTAACGGCGTTCGACCAACACTAGCAGCTGCCGCTATTAAAGGTTCCGGCGCGGGACTCTCTAGTCGTCGGCGCTTGGATTCCGAATCCGCGGGGTCGAATGGACACCGTCTTCTGGGTGAGAGACGATCGGGGTCTTCTCTCGCAACACCAAGATCCAAAGGTTGAGTTTGACATGGAGATGATGAATTTGTGAGATCACCATGTGCCCGTGGAGGTGGCCTAGGTTCAGGGGTCCGCGAATGTGCAACGGGCGGCGGTCGCGTGCGCGGCGCCGGGGAATACGCAGACGGCGGAGGATATGGTACCGGAGGTGGCTCAGCTTTTGTGAGTTGAAGTGGAGGTTCTACTGCTACTGCGAAATGTTGTGCAGGTGCAGGTCCAGGGGAATTGCTGCTTGGCTTTCCATAAATGTGTGGTGGAGCCGGACTAGAAACCTTTGGTTTCGCAGGCGCAGCTTGGTAATAAGCAGCTGGCGACCTTTGCGGTTGAGGCTGATACAGTCTTCGATTTTTGTCTTGAGCCGGTAACGCCGCGTGAGGGGACGTTTGCAACGCGGGGTGTGGATGAGGCGGGGCGTGAGGAGAGAGCCCCGTCCGATATGGCCGCGATGGAAGATAGTGTGGGGATGGTTCGCTTCTCGGCTTACTAGGATAAGGATGCTTCTGCTCTAAGTGTATTTGTTTGGCATCGTGCTTAACTATCACAGAATTTTTTTCAGGAACAAGAGGAGGGGGCGCCGGTAGGAGTTGATCTTTGAGTTTATCGTACCTATAGTTTGGATAGTTGTACGGGGCAAAATTTGGTTCGCCTTTAGGAAGGACGGGGTGTTTATCGGATTTGGCTAAAGAATGGCGCGAGGGATGCTGTGTGTGCGGCGCGTGGGGTGCGTGGGGGTTGTGCTGCGCGTGCGTTGCATAATCGGGCTGTGGGAGACGGTCAGGCGGGTGCGCCGGCGGCGAGTAGTACGCGCGCTCAGAGGTCCGTAACCGATCGTGTTCCGGTGCAGCCGCACCTCTGTTCGGTGCTAGACTATTTAACAGCGACCACGACATACTGCGTTCACGCTATAAAAGAAATAAAACACCATTATTGTAAGGTCAAATAAAACTATACAGTAGTATAGGATAATAAGTCGTAGTTTTGTAAATACTAATGAGAATAAATGAGAAATATAAACCTTTTGATTTGCTAGTCTAAGAGATTCCTCGAAATGCCTGGACACTAGTTTCGAAGCAGCATTTTCTTGATCTCTCCTTTCTTTTTCTTCCCTTTCTTGTTTTTCCCTTTCACGTTCTCTTTCTAACCGTTCTCTTTCCTTTTCTTTCTGTTGCTTTTCCAGCATTTCTCGCTGTTGTTGTTGTTCTTGTTCCCTCCGTTCTCTGTGTTCTCTAAAATTAATAATAAAGTATTAGTTTCTATAACCTTAACAAACTATACAATATACTATTATAATAATAATACTATTATATTAAAAAGATAGTTTGATTTTTAAATGCAATTAGGTCAAGGTCATATTGAAAGTGAAATGAAATATTGTATTTTAATCTTTTTGTATTTTTTACTTTTAAATATATTATTTATAAGATAATATATAAATCAGACGTAGCTGTAAGTCTTTTCTAACAACAAATACTATAAACATTGTAACCAAAAGTCTTATGGTTAACAAACTCACACTTATAAAAAACTCCTAATGGTTGAATGAATCAGAGAACATGAGAATATCCTAATTTAAAAGATTCAGTTCAAAACAACACCATTTAGAAAATATTTATAAAAAATATTATAAAACGTAGCTATTTACCTAATATCAAACAGGTTTTTTTATGTTTATTGTTTTATATTCATAATAACTGGTACGTATTAATATTGTTTAATGTCTGACACTTGCCAAAAATTCCTTCAAAAGGAATACATTTTAACATAATTTATGACATTTAGGCATTCACGGTTGACACAATTTACTCTGTCAATGTCATTGCTAAGGAGTTTATAGACAACGTTGACATGATTGTATGCCTAATGCAGAATAAATATAATTCTATTATAATGTATGGTGTTCCCATAATAATGACCCATAATAATATATGGTGTTCCCATAATACTAAAATGCAATGGCAAATAGTTTCAGAGTTTATTTTTAGTTTTAAGGTAAAATATAATACAAAATATATCAAATCATTTTTCTTCAACAATGTTTCAAATGACTCCATTTAATATTAATTATTCGAATATAATATGATAAACATTACGTAATTGAATAAATCACAAAATTGAGGTACTAAATATGGTAATTTAATTAATAAACAAGTCAAGTCTAAAGTCATTTGAATACTTCCATGTTCTTATAGCACTGCTTGTAAAGTAGTACATAAATCATGGATATATGTAGGTATCAGAACGAATATATGCAATTGTGAATTTTCTAAGTGAAAGGTCTATTTTTATTATTCCGTGCCCAAAAACATAACTAAACATAAAAACTAAAATTTTGTATCTTAAACATTCCGAGATAACTTTGAAGATAGGTAAATGATGATTTAAACATTCATATATATATATATATATAACAATAATATCTGAAGAAAATAACAGTGATAACAAAAATCGCTGATATCAATTTGAAGTGAAAGAACAACTGTTTTGTTACGTAAAATTCTCGCAACATAACGTACATATTACGAGAATTTCATGAAATAAAACAATTATGGATTTTTAATGAGTTTTAGAATTAATTATTTTAATTAATGAAGTCATGAATTATATGTTGACATGGTAATTTGCATACAATGAGATTTAAAACCATACTGTAGTATAAATAATCCTAACGTTGTTTTAGCACAGAGGAAACTAAACTTCTCGATCACTAAAATGGATATATAGGTATAATGAACTTAGATATGATTAAAATGCATAATTTAAATTATTACGACGAAGTGATTTACATAAGCAATACCAAAATGCTCTCTTAACTAAATGCACTGGTTATTAATAATAAAATTTTATGAGACGATATTTGAGAAATATGAATAGGTCAGCACCTGGTTACGTTAAAGTAAACTGAGAATTTTGACTGGTATAAATGTACTACTTTATTTATTAAAGCAGTACTTACTAAATATGAAAATAAATATGTAGATCAAGAAAAAAACAAATATGTAGACAAAAAAAAAGACAAATATTTAACAACCCTTCAAAATTTTGGCTTACAATTGGACTAATTATAAAAAATGTCAAAATGTGTATATTATCAGCGACCACTGCAATGATGTCCAATGTAGGTCATGCTAATCATATATTAATCAGTTTTTAGATTAGTTTCTCTGTATGTTTTATGCATATATACATTAATTGTTAATATTTCATCACCACATTAATATTTCATTGATTCTAAATATTTAGATATTTAAAACATATAAATTATTAAAAGCTTTAAATAAAATCCCTAGTAAATTTTGACTGAAGATTAGGAAAATAACACCTACTATCAAGTTGATTATTTTTTATTTTAAAAAGGTAAAAGTAGATCTCTAAATACAACTTTCACTTTTTTTTATGTCCGTCTTATTCCTGAGTCAGAGATGGCGTAACGTTTCGTCCAACAACAAAGACATATTTCGAAACTATGCTATAGGTATGCTTTAAACGAATGGAGTTATACTTGACATTAAAGAATATTTATGTTTAATATTAGAAACTTACAGTAGTTTTGAGTTTATTTACTGCGGTGACTAATAAAATCACTTAAGAATTTATACCATATATTACGCTTATTATATAAATTGAAAAAACGTGTGTGTGTGTCATGTAGGCACGTAAGAAGTTATACTTCTTTAGCGCAACAGAAAAAAAATAGTTAAAGATTTCATCTCGTATGTCACAACTGTCTGTTTGTTTCTGTTTTTGGCTGTCGGTGTGCAAGCTTATCGTAAAAATTTTACTCTCATAATATTTCCCAAACGTGCCAAAAAAAGTATAACTTCATAAAGTTAAAATAACTGTGTAATTTAAATCTATACAAAATGTTGTAATATAGAAGTCCTATAAAATCACTAAGAGTATTTCCAAAGACATTTAAAACTTTATTACGGAGGAGTTGAAATTAAAAGAAAAGGTAAAAATAAATTCAAGGTGTTCTTGTTGTTAGTGCCTCAAAATATTCAACCTTCAAATGAGTCTTTTGTAAATATTTAGTTTCTGTTTTTTTATTTACATGATTTCCATATGAGGATAAAATAATTAAGGCTTATCTCGACCTCTGTCGTAAATTACATTAGTTTTACATAGCTAAAATATTACTACTTAAAAAGAAAATAATCAACATTTTTTAAAAACACGCGCATGATTTTTGCATCTTTGTGTTTTTTTTTTGGAATATGAGATATTTTTGACGAAACCTCGCCATGTTGTTGACCTTGAACTACAAAACAACTTTCCAGGCCTTACGTAATAAATAACCTCGAAATAATGCTATTTATATTTACTTGTAGGCATTAAAACAATAAAAATGTTTCCTATGTTTTTCCTTCTAATATAAAAACTAAAATTGTTACCTAATTATCTTTGAATAACAATTTTTTCATCACATTTTAATCGTAAGCTTACAATTAGTGTAACATATTATGCATATAAACCGGAAAGGTACTGTTCAGCGTGATAAAAATATTGATAATAATAAATCAAGCTGTACAAAGTGCAAGTTTCAAAAACGAACTGATGATTTTATTATTTATATTATTTTTACTAGCAGAACCGGCTTTTACTATATTACTAGCAGAACCGAATCAGCGAAAAGCGGCTACGCCCGAATTCAATCTACAAAAAAACTCTTTGGCTTTATGTTTTACAGCGACTCACCCTCGCTTCGCTCGAGTTCGTCGTATTTATGTAGTGTTGTCCATACAAAAATACTAAAATCGTGATTAAAAATTGGGGGATGTGGGTAGAGGGGGAAAAATACTTTACGACCTATTCTCATACCTATACACAAAAAAAAAACATTAAAATCGGTCAAGCCGTTTCGGAGGAGTGCGACTACAAACACCGTGACACGAGATGATTAAATAATAGATATTCAACAGTTTGTTTCTGTTTTTTTTTTTATTTCCAAATTAAATGTTATCTATACTAATACATATTATAAAGAAGAGGTAAAGTTTGTGAATTGTGAGTTTGTGAAGTTGTAGGGGGTCATCTCTGGATCTACTGAACCGATTTAGATGGAATTTGGTAAGAAGATAATTTGAGACCCTGGGAAGGACATAGGATATCTTTTATCCCGGAAATCATACCTTAAGGAGGTGAAAATGGGGATGCAAGTTTGTATGAGGGATCAATTTATATTATCAATAATCTTTTTCCATTACTCCTCAAAGAGTTTTATTTTGTATGTATTTGTATGTTTTAATGTATTTATAAATTAAATGAACCACCACATTCAGGATTACTATAGCTATTAGGCTTAAAAGATAGAGCAATATATACAAAGCCCAGCCTATTTTGGGACGAAGGTGAATCTTTGCCTTTCTACCCTCAATAAATCGTGAAGAATAATCGCCCACATCTGTTATTTGGCCGCATTCGTAGATCTAAGTACCCGAGGAATAAATTCATATCTTAATTTTGTTTTTGTCCCTCATCTATTTACGTACCTATTTCCATCAACAATAGTATTGTTGATGGAAATAGGTAATAGATAGTTGCTGTTGATCGAAGCGTACCTACATATTATTTTCCTTACTTAGCATAGTCTAACCTTTATTTCCATAATCTTATTACATATTCATTGTATACGTAAATAAACATAAAAAACCATAGGTATTAACTGTAGGTAATATTTATAGTATAAAACACCACTTCAAAGTCACATGATATATAATCTAATTAAATATTTTGATAAATAACGTATGCTATCGGTCAAATATAAAATACTTATAAAAACTTACGGTAATCATGTGAGCTAATCAAATTTACAAGTATTTATCACAATAATAATTACTTCTAAGATTTTTTGAATTTATATATAAATTAGTATTGCCCGCGGCTCCGCCCGCGTTCAGATGACTAAAAACCAAATTCTTAGGTTTTACATATTAGTATAGTCTTACATTGCAGTTTTTGTATTTATTCTCAGAAATGAGTTATTTTCCCGCGGTAAAAAGTATCCTATATGTTGACCCGGATAACCAGCTATCACCATACCAAATTTTATCAAAATCCCTCCAGTAGTTTTTCTGTGATGCGGTAACAGACAGACAGACTGACAGACAGACAAACAAAAATTCTAAAAACTATAGATGCGGACTCTGTATCGATAATAATGTCTATTTCAATTAGATTTTCCAAAAAATATTTAATGTACAGATTCGACTTTATATATAATTTTTCATTTTATACAATTTTATTATATGTAGATAGATTATTGAGGTATGAATAGATTTTTTAAGATGTGTACGTTTATCTATAATATAGATAAGAATAATATCGTAAAGTTAAACGTATTTTAGTTAATGAATGCTGATAAAGTCTCTGGTGTTTTTCTAGTATAATAAAAAATAGAATCTACATATTTAATGAATCAACAAGCATTTACAAGAACTAAACTTCTACTGAATAACTGAATCTTTTTATCTATTGTATGTAAATTATTGAGTTATTCTCATTCTTTTCGACGTATAACAATGGACTACGGAAGTTCTTCTTCCTTTGTGACGCTAACTTTGTCTGACTTTTAAATGTGGCTAAAACATTTTAACTTCAAACTGGTTTAATTTTTTTATAATTAAGCTAACAAAAAATAATTTTACCAGATTCTTTTTATCATAATACTGTATTTTCCTTGCAAATTAGTATCATTATATTTTTTGTCTTCTATTCAATTACCAATAGGTACCCCTACTTTAATAAACAATTTTAAATATACATTATTAAATATTGTAGATAACAATATATGCGTAATGCTAAGGACTAACGAAACATATAGCAACAATTAAATTAATCAACAAAAAATGCGATAAAACAATGTTTAAGATATATCGTCATCACTCATAAGTCAAATGTACTCAAAAAAATAATAAAAGCAAAACATAAGTTTTAATCTTTTCGAATCTAAGTTTTTATCTAATCTCGATTAATCAATTACGTGGTCAATCGCTCGAACAAGTTTTCTCGGTTTTTATAATGGTTTGATAACAATACAACTAGCATTTAGTCTCTAAAATTCTTGTTTTTACTGCTTGGAACTTGATTTGTAAATCTTTATATGTATATGCCACTGTTATTTCATTAGAAACCTAAACTTCCAAACCACGCGATTGATATTATTTTTAAAAATTTTGTGTTCATATCTATAAAATATTAAATAAGTAATTAATCTTACCGTAACAGTCTTTCATGTCTCTCTCTATCGTAGTTAGGCACCGCCATGTAGTCATCCGCGATAGCATGGTGCAACGGCGTATGTATCGGCGGCTGGTAACGCTGCTTCCAGAGCAGCTCTGTGGGGTAAAGCGTGGGGGGCGGCGGGGGCGGCAGGTGCAGCAGGGGCGGGGGTGGTCCGCCGCCGTAGCCGTGCGCCATGCCGCGCCACTCCTCCACCGAACTGGCCGAGCCGCCCGAGCGCACGCCACTCACGCCGGAGTCGGACCGATCGTCCGCATCGCGCGCGCACACTATCACACAATCGTCCTCCTCGGAGGCCACGGCGCTGCCAACACCATCCGCGCCCGCACTCACTTCACTCTTCACTTCACCACCACTGTTCGTACACTCGCCCTTCACCTCCTTTATGCACTTGTTTTCCTCACTGTTTTCCACATCACCACTCGCACTGACACTTTCTGTTGTACCTGAAACAATTAAACGAATATTAGTTTTCGCATAAACATTTCAAAATGTAGGTAAAAAAGTTCCAAGATAAAAACCTGAATAATTTTGCTTCAAATGAGCGAACTTAAATAATAAACATGTAAATATCAATCAGCATCTTTTCCGCTGATAAATGACTGACGTCAACAATTTAGTATGTTCATGCGAGCACGTTTGGACGGCGGCCAACATTAAGCTCATTCACACTACGCCCACTACCTAGCAAAAATGTGTCATAAGTTGACACCGGTGTACTTAGCATAAATCATAACAATAACTATAAAATAAATAAGCAACAAAACAGCTAAATTGTGCAGTAAAAATGCAAAATGTTGTTCAATATAAATCCGCTATTTGATCTATTTGCATGTGTATGCATTGGTGGCGTAATCACTATATTTCATATATCATCGTCATCAATTAATTATGAAACCCGATCGCGATTACACACCACTTTTACAATAGTTCCCCCAATAGGCCTCGGCTTCAGTTATGCGTGACAAGAATGCGTTATCAGTCACGTTTAACTAATAACTCCGGAACAGGAAGACGACATCGCGACATGGTAAAAGGTGCAAAAATATGTTGGCAAAGATCTGGTATGGCGTATCACACGTGAATGACTGGCCGACCGCCAAATTGTGAAGATAACGTATGACGTGACAGCGTTTGGCTAAAAACCAAAATAGGGGCAATGTGACAGTATGTACATTCCGACGCACATAAAATTTAAAAATATATAAAAAAAACCTTGAGACTCAATTAAATGATAAAGGTAAAGTTTACAGATTTTTCGAGATATTCAAAATCAACAAATTATTGTGTTTTCCTTTCTGTATTTAAATAGTCTTAATTTTATATAAATAATGAAAAACTGCCAAGTTAAAAAGTGAAACAATACGTATTCTAGGTTCTATTTACATATACAATGAACACGAATTTGCATTTAAAGTAACACGCATTATTAATAGCCTTCCACTAAATGGCAATGATAATAAAAAGAAACGTTAACAGTGGATTATATCATAACTGAATATATTAAAAAGTCCGTTGGATACATAAAAATGGACACGAAACGCACAAAAGAACAAGCGTGCGTGACAAAAGAGCGACAATGGAATTTTAATGAGAAGCTGTTAACGGCGATGCTCATTTACATAATCGCATAAATAATAATTATTCATAACAAACAAACAAGAGCCGGCCGCGCCTCGTGTACCTATTTGATGCTGGTTTACGTATTCAAAGGTGCGGAAATAGATTTTAATCGTTCTTTGCCATATTACCTGATATTACCCAATAATTTTCAATCTATCTTTATAAATATTTATACAGTAAAATAGTTATTACTCATCGATAATTTAATCTGGTATAATTTACCTTGCTTTTTATAATTACATAATATATAATAATAACAGAATATAAACTAAGTTTTAACTAATTTTAATAATGTTACAAGATAGAAAAAATAAAAAAAGCTGTATTTCTCGGAAACAAATACATTATTGCAACAGATTACTAAACAAATTTTGCATTTACAACCAAGCTTGTATGTTTGACTTCCAGAAAGTAGATTGTTTTGCAAACAAAATGAATGTGCGAGTGAGTGTAAACAAAAGCCAAGAGACAATACGACAGTGATCAGTGGTCGGGTACAATGGGGGAACAAATAACTCTCGGGGGAAGTGAGCACCGTGCACCGCGTGACAGCAACTGATTGACAAGACAAACGCTAAGGCGGGGCCGGTGAGAGAGCTTTTCATTAGATAGAAAAGAGGCAAAAACTTGACACAGACTTTGGGTTGACGGGCGCCGAGCAAAGCAGCGACTGTGAATTCAGATTGAATTATTCATAAACCGACTTCGAACGAGTAGACGCAACTATTGCACCAATACGAACAACTAAAATGGCAATGTTAATAAAACACGCCAACTCATTATTTAGGTTACGTTAACTTAAACGGAATGGCATAAAAAATTACGCCATTTATGCATATGTGCTGGAATTTAAATAATTTAACTCATCTTGTACACATTTTCCGTACTTGCAATCAAGTTCCGAGAATAGTGCACTACGTCAGCTATTAACTGTCCAATAAAACGAGAACTCATAACGCATAGGTACTTGAGTTTCATTGCAGCGGAAACTGCGAGGTTAAAAGGTCAAAATCATCAAGCAGTTACCAAGTATGATATAAGCATATATTAACGATATTCATAAAGCTTTATAGAATTACTATCGGTGCGTGAATTGGAACTATCAAACCTCGTTGAATATTTAATATAACCTTGTAGAAAACAATCTATTGAGTGGAACAATCAGACACATAAAATATTTTAAAAATGCCGTAGCGTACATACGTAAAACTATATATTATAATTTAAGTTATTAAAATATTTAGAGATATCATTTACATCTATATATGTAGCTATTTACGATAGTAGTAACGTATGTACAGTTCAATAATTCGATTATGTACGGTCATAAGCATCCATAAATCTAAAACCTAGAACATTTTACAAGCGTGTACATTTTGCAATGTGATTCGTAGTATCATGTTTATTGACTCAAGTAGAGATCTCGTTAAACCCACTAGAGCGTGCCAGCCTCGCCGACCGTATAATGAACACTTCCACTCGGACAATAACCGCTACAGTACTTAATAAGATATTTAAGCGGCTGAGCTTTCTCCGTAACCATGAGGCAATTATATCGACATTACTATAATTACGCAATACCTGTCTGCTATCTATCTAACACAGCTACAATTGAATAAAGAAGCAACTGCGATTACCGCAAACCACAAGTCAAAATAACAGTCGGACATCTCGTAAGTGGACATAAATATAACTTGTGATTAAATGGTTTTACAATAAGTAATGCTTGTTAAATTCTTCGAATCGATACTCTATTGCGAGCTTCCGTGTAATTTCCTCTCTAAGTATGTTATTCAACTCTACAAAAAGTGATCGTGATCGGGCAACGTATCAGATATCGTGACTGGTAATGCACTACCTTGAAGGTATTATGGTTTCGTAGTTGCATCACGACTCCACGACGACCGCACCGCGTAAAGTAGGTAATTGCGCAATGCATTACTTTGTATGGGCCACGACGTGAATAATATATTTGGCGACATTTCATGCTCTCACTGCACCACGCATGTCATTTCATACATTTTTTTGCAACTTGCTAATATCCCACAGGTCTTTTGATGTAGCAGAATATAACGTCTTTTATCGCTCTATAGTACAAACTATATCTCCAATCTGTTGTTCCGTTGAGCGGATAAGAAGAACTAACCACCAAAAAATACTATTTTGGAAGCAGATACGGCTATCTACATAGTGTTAGAATACTTTTTCTTTCACTGTACTTATGCATTATTAATACTTATTTAGTCGCGTTTAATTATATGTGCATAATATGATTTATTATTATTACTTATGATATGTAAATGGTACATATAATGCCTAAAAATGGTAAAGAGAAACTGGTATGGTAGCTTGTTATGTTACGGTCCAAGTCGACAGAGATTTACTACAATTCGCAATTCGTTGCGAACATGACTCACAAAATGGATATTTCTTCGTAAAACTCGCATTTAATAACTGTGTAGGTTATGTCAAGCATTTGTTTTTATAAGCATTAAATAAAATATTACAATAAATACTTCAGCTTAACTGCGTAGGCACTTAAGTGTTGAGTCATATTACACTAAATAAAATAACACCGCGGTGAGAATTCAACGAAGAGTAATAATTCTGCGTAATTACATAGTAGGTATCTACTAAAACCCATGTACGATTGTTACAACTTGATACTTTCCCAATTAGTAATTGTTAGAACATAATTGAAAGGCATTCAAGAACAATGAAGAATAATTATAACTGGAACAAGTGCAGAGTGCGGGTCATTAGAAAGTTTAATAAACAATAGCGATAAGCGTAACCCGAAAGGCGTACCGGAGGTTAACAATGCACAACGGAGCATTCGATAACATTACCGATTAAAGGTCAACTAGGACATGACTCTACGTGGCATATAATATTTTATAGCAATGATACCAAATATATTACTGCAGCATGATCGTAATTACATGAAGAGTTATATTATACATTTTATATTGTTCGTATTGTTTTCCTTTATAGCATTTACAAATAATAATATTTAATTTATCTTTATTGCACTATAACATTATGAAAGGTTTAATGGAAAATATACGGTGCGACCGTTATTAAAATGAGCATTTCAAGTCTCATTATAGTAGGTATGTCAGCTTTTAATCGTTTAATATTATCCAACAATAAATTATAACGTACGAATTCAAAGATCTTAAAATCGATTAAAGTCATATTTCAATTAAATCAATCAAAATCAAGCCAATCAAAAATTAAGCTTTAACTAAAATACTTACTAGGTAAGTGGTCTATTAACACTGTTTTACTGCTTTAACTAAAAATATCTTCAGCAGCACTAAAACACTTGTAATCTCTCACACTTGCAATTCCTTTCAACAAAAAGCGGGCGAATCACCGATGTTCAAAGTCACTATCACAAAAATATCCAGGCTACAATAAGGGATCCTCTCGACGACCGTTGAAAATTAAAAGCAATCCAATCCACTCAGTTGTGTCCTTGAATGCGGTCAGGAAATCGAAGCAGCCAGGCGTTCACCTATACACACTACACCAATCTATGCTGTACATATATTTTATATGAATGTATAAAGATCACGACTGTTGAAATTGTTCGCTACGAGTAACACAGACGTGCAAAAGCTTCGATAGCGCACAAAGAACTGAGCCGCGGTGGTCTGAGGTGAGGGGAGGGGATCGGGCGCGCCGGTCTCACGACGGCGACGTAGCACAACGTAGCAACAAGTGAACGGCAATGCGGGTGTGAAGGCGAGGGATGGACAGGGAGGAGGCGCCCCCCGCGCCCAGAGCGCACCTGACGATGCATAGCACCCGTCCTATC